TCAAAAAATATTGACTAACTTTCATATTCATTTCCAGAAGATGGACCAAGACGACAATGGCTCCGAGTACGGTACCAGCGGGTACCCTGAGGAGCACGTCCGACCATCGATGTCGGCTCCTCGGGGTCCCCCTGGTCCGTACCGGGCCATTTACTCAGACCTCCAAGACATGCAAGAGACAAAGCGCCGTCGAATCGATGATCGTATGGATGTAGCCTATGAGGAGGGACGCGTGAGTGGTGCTCCTGCTGACCCTGCCGATCAGCGAGTATACATTAAAGACTTGTTCGACGCCTTTAACTCCGTCGAAATAGAGGGCGATGATGCGATAATTGATAAGCCGACCAAACATGGCAGATTATCGCAAGCAGCCACCAAGTTTAAGGAAAATCATTACCCGGCATATGCCATCGAGGAAGTCTGTTGGGAGATTTTTGTAAGTGGACCTCCTACTTATTCCTGAGTCCCTCCCATTTCAAAATACTAATGAAGAAACCACAGGACAAGGCTCGAATTGTACAAATGGATGTAAAACTCTTAGAAGCATTTCATGAGTCAAAGTTTGAGGGACCAATGATCCATACTTCGTTTGGTCAACGTTGGACAGCTATTTGTGGAGCCTGCACTGTAAGTACGCATTCAATGCTCCAAAGAATATAATCTAATCTATTTCGTAGCGTTCTAAAGCCTTGTGCAAAATGTTGTTGGACGCTCCATACCTCGACCGTTTCGTTAGTCATCCACAGGGAGAGCTGAAGGTAAACAATTTTATCCTTTCCTATCTTTGAGTTACTGCTAACGTAAGTTTCTTAGATGAAGCTCAATAACAAAAAGATCAACGCTCAGCGCGATGCCCAAAATGAAATAGGTCGTCAGTTCTTGAGCAAAGGCGTGGGACCCGAAGCGGCGGCTACAGCTTTAGCCAAATTGCTTCCTGAAGAGGCACAGCCATATGACAAATATGCCCGCTTCAGCCCTCATCAAACTTCTCGCGGTAATGCAGCTGGTCCAAAGACACCAATAGCCCCAGCTCGCATTCAGCCTACTCGATCAGCTGTCACCAACTCAACCAAGCGTAAGAATATGTCAGAGTCGGAGGACGAAGATGAGTCCGAGGAAGAGGATTACATCGACTCAGCAGTCAGATCCAATGCCAAACCAACTCTTCGAGGTCGTCGAGCGACTCTCAAGACTCCTACACGATCCAATACCACCAACTCTGTCATGAGCAAGACTCCACAAACCAAAAAGACCAAGGGGCAACCGACCAATACTCGCTCACGTCTCGTCAATACTAAAACACCTGTCAAATCACAGGAAGTAGTGGAAGCCGAAGCTGAAGATGATTATAAGAAGACGATTTGTCGACTTCTTGGTCTTGACCCCAAGAATGCGAAGGTCATGGCTTATAGCCTCGAGGACCTAAGATGGTATGCGAGAGCATACAATGTCGAATATATGGAGACTGCATGGTCACACCCACAATGGCCTGATTACAAGGGTCTCGGACATCTTCTTAAGGATAAGAACGACAATCGTGTGGACCACTTTTCTATCATCATCAAGTCATTGATGCCGCTTGCTAAGTTGCGGGGAGATTACGTCGACGGTAAATTGATGCCGCATAGAAACAGAACCTTCAAGCCTAAGTCACAAGAAGATCGCATGGCGCTTGGTTCTGCTATGAATGCTGTGCGTTTTCACGCTGGGTATCCTGCTCCCGTCTCTATCGAGTCTCATGGTACCCCGCAAATGATTGCAGAGAACACCAATTTCAAGCCTCAATTACGTCAGCACGTTGAATATCAACATGTCGATCACGGTCACTATCAACGTTCAAGTACATATGATCAATCTACCCCAAAATATCATTCCTACAGCCATAACCGTTCTCAGCATGCCAGTCATTCACCTTACTTAGCTGCTTCCACCAGTAGGGGCTATAATGATGGCTCGTTTCAACAAAGACATCTGGGAAATCAACAATCGTATACTCCCAACCCGGGTTACAACTTCAACACTTTTGGTTCTAATCCTCAAGCCAGCACCATGTTCAATGATGGTCTTGGATTCTCTGGTCCGCCCCACACTGGCTATTCCACATCTTTCAGAGGTCAACCCCCTAGCTATAACCATAATCATACTGTTCCAACCAGTCCTTACACCACCCCTCAGCTTGGTCATAATGTTGGCCTTGTCTCACAAAGTCCACATTTACCCAGTCTTACCACTCAGCATAGCGATGGCACATACCCAGACCCGGAGGATTGTTCCAGTCAACAAAACTCGCAATAGATTCAAGGTTCAATTTTCAGTCATCAACTGGTCTTTAGCTGGAATTTGCTCTCTTCATTCATCAACCTTTTGATTCCTCGATTGCATTCTGGATCCCTACGGCATATCACAGACAGTAACTTGTTCAGATGGCTTCGTTTTAGTGCGGTTTTGCACTCCTCTCGATGCATTTTCTTTTTTTCACTTTTCATGTTCCGATTTGCGGGCTTCATTTTACCTCGACTCGATATTATCAAAGCGTTCAACGTATAACGAGCCATTGTGCATACAGCAACAGCGCCATACATACACTTCTCTTCTTTCACTCCTGCTTCTTGCAGGTTATTATTGCGGTAACTTGACTCTATGGGTTCAGATATCGACTTATTTGACACCATACATGCATTTCCTTTACTCTCTACCTCCGACTTACGCAATACTTACCGGTTTCTGTATCGTATGAGCTCCAGTAGCGAATACGTTACTTCTCGGAAAACAGATATCAATCATCTGTATTGTGCCGCCCACTCTACCGTCTTGCATGATTTCACTCGACAATTGGACTTACTGAGCTCCACTGTCAATCAATTCATAGGCGCCTCTTCAAAAGCTTTTCTTTCATATTTTCATGTGCAAGTCGAAAGGATACACTGCGCAGCACAGATCCATTCAGCATCACGCATACAGCGGAGTCTTCGGAAAACGATACCCAGGGCATTTTCACAGCAATTCGCATTCGCACAGCATTCACGGCATTTAAAACACTTTTTTCTGGTACTGGCATGGTTCTACAATCACGGGCATTACATTGCAAGGTGTTGGCGGTCTCATCTCAGGTATTTCTAGGATATAAGGCATAGCGATGGAGTTGGGAAAAGATACCCTTGAAAGCGTTCTTTGCGGTTCTTCAGCGGGGTTTCAATTTTCTTCTTAGTTATCATGGTTTTTCATTCATGAGACATTGCATTCGTGCCCTTTCTCTGTATTTAATTTTCTTTCTTTAGATCGTTGTTTCAATTGCTTGCAATGGACGACTTTCCTGTATTCTAGCTTTACTTTCTTTTGTCTGCGACCCTTTGAGGGCTTCAATCTTCAATGAGACTATGCATTCTCTCTAAATTGATGTGCAAACTTGAAATCTTGATATATGAATTGATGAAAGTGACTCTAAGAAATTGAATGGCGTTTATTGACTTGAGTGTATTCACGATGACTCGCCAAAGGATCGCATAGATGTGGTGAAGTCAAGCGTACCGAGTTGAATGAATGATGACGAGCTCCGATCTATTCATTATCTCTCTTCACTTCATAGTACTCGTTTAGATGAATCGGTATCACCTGGGTCCTAATGAATACTGCAGTACTGCTCTCGCACCATTTATTTAGGATGAACGGGATTCGATCCAGGCAGGAGAAACTACACGACGGATCCCCGTCTCTTTTTCTGTGCACAAATTTTACACGTGGTAGTTCCATGCTTGAGAAGTTTTCATTGTAGTAGATTATGAAGGGCTGCTGGCAAGGTATCTTAACTCTATACTCTTTTATCAAAAGTCAATCGACTTTGTACATTCTATCGCGAAGCATCTATATGCAAGTCTAAGTATATCTCTCTTCTAGTTTATCAAGATCCCATATCTTTCATAGGGGAAGTTCTCTAAGGTCTCCACATAATCACCCCATCCATCTCCCACCGTACCAACAACACCATCTTCCTCCAAGTTTCCTCCTTCTCCAGTCGATCCTGCCAAAACTTCTCCTTCTCTCCCTACAAACTCATTCTTTAATTCCGGATGCGGACACCACACTACTCTCATTCCTGCTCTCCTCCCACTTTCTACACCTGGCACCGAGTCCTCAAATACTAAACATTCTTCCGCTTTCACGGGCTCCTCTCCTTCTTCTAAACTCTGGTTAATAGTGTCCAACGCTAGTCGATAAATATCTGGAGCAGGCTTGCCACGTCCAGGTCCAATTCGTGGATCATCGCCAAGAACTTTTCGGTGTGGAGGAAAGACTTCGAAAAGTGTTACATGATTCATAGTTTTGGCATCGTACATCTCCTTATGACTACTCGTCGCTAGGGCAATGTGTAGCTTTCTTTCCTTTTCTCCTTCCTTTGCTGCCGATCTCGCATTCTTTAACACTTCTAAGAGTTTCGTTACACCGGGTAATGGCATACAGGTTTTAAACAGTTCTCGCTTGAGGGATTCTTGTTCTTCGATGTATTGCTCACGGGAAATTGGGAGGTTGGCCCAGCCAAAGAAAATTTCGCTGGCGGAAGCTGCAGGTCGACCCTGTAATTGTGCTTTTATGGACCAGGGAAGTGGTGGCCTGTTATATTTTTCGAGCAGGGTGTTGGTGACAATAGAGTACTTGTCTTCGGAATCGAGAAGGAGTCCGTCCATGTCGAAGAGACATGCTCGGATTGGGGGAAAGCTGGCATGATGTTAGCCAGAGTTTTGCAGAAGAGGGATACAATTGAGTGGGAAATAAAATTCCGGTGGAGAGACCTACTCTGTTCGAGGTGCCATATTTGCAGTATTGTACTACAGCTCTGATGTCAATAGAGTCTAAAGCTGGCGTGAGTGTGAAGTGTGGGGTTTAACATGTTGGCGGGGTAAATATCACACGCGGTCAGTGCGGCCGATGCGGTATCATTTCCGTTCGTACATGCTTCACGCCAGCAGACCTTACAGAATACACCCCGAAATCATTCATTCATCATGACGACACGTACCGAAAAGTTCCAGCGCAAACCTCGCGACGCTGATGCCGAACCTTCAGAGACTGAAGAAATCCTAAGATTCTCTCCCGAAGAAGAAGCTGTGCGTATTTCCACACCATTTTGCGATGCGCAACCGCATTCTATCTACTTATTGCTAATGACGTAAATGATAGTCACTCCTCGCCGAATCTAACACACTAAAAGCTGCTGCCAATACTCTATTTTCGCAGAAATCATACAAAGAAGCTATCAATACATATGAAAGCGCATTGTCGACGTGTCCGAAATATTTAGAATATGAGAAAGCGGTATTGAAGAGTAATGTGGCGGCTTGTCATTTGAAATTGGAGGCGTGGAAGGAAGCTGCCAAAGCAAGTTCAGAAGCTTTAGATGGACTCGAAAAATTGCAGAAAGACGAGGCGACGGATAAGAAAAAGGATGAGGATGAAGAATCAGGAAAAGAGGAGGTGAAAGAAGAGGAAGAAGCAGATGAGGAAATCATCAGCGAGGGAGCTGCAAAAGCGGAGGATACCAGAGGAAAGAATATTGATGATGCGAAAGAAAGTCGAGCAAAGGACATTGAGAGAATAAGGGCAAAAGCTTTGATGAGAAGGGCGAGGGCTAGGAGTGAACAGGACGGATGGTCTACTTTAGCTGGCGCCGTGGAAGGTACAGTTTATTATCTCTTTCCTTCATTGGCAACGTCATGTCTCATGCTGGTGCTCGGAATCTCGATCTAACATATTACACCCCGCAATCTAGATTACAAACTCCTTTCAACCTTTACCAACCTGTCCGCCATAGACCGCAAAACAGTTGAAACACAACTTCGCGTTCTGCCACTCAAAAGTAAAGCAGCTCAAGACAGAGAAATGGGCGAGATGATGGGGAAATTAAAGCAGGTTAGTTTGATTGATTCTTGTAAGTCTCATTTCTTTTTGTTCATAAGAGCTTACGATTGGGGTTGTGATACTATAGTTCGGAAATGGCATACTGAAGCCATTTGGATTATCCACCGATAATTTTCAGATGGTCAAAGATGAGAAGACGGGTGGGTATAGTATGAATTTTAATCAAGGAGGGGATTCATGATACGAATATTTGGCCGATACTCAGAATCAAGGCTTTGGGGCTCCAAGACAGGACTAGAGGTCACACCATAATTGTCTATCAATCCCGAGAGTAAGTATGTTCTGGTGCATATTAGGCCATTTTTGAGGCGTGCATTCTACATCCTTACACTTCTAAGCAGTCGTTTTGTACTAGGATACTGGACTTTGATAATGGCTTTGCTATACCGTATCTTCACCTATCACAAAGACTCTTACCGGGCCGCACCCATTTGATATCAAGAATATAATCTGTTTCACAAGGTCTACATCATGCTTATCTTTGCGCTTCATTTATCGATTTCACATGATACCCTTTCTTAAGTCCAACACGACACTTGTATTGACGAATGTACCGCGTTGTATGGTCAACACTCTTACCCGAAAATATCCCTCACGAATCGATCCCCCCACATGTTCTTAGTCCTCTCCTTTTATTCGCTTATATCAATTACGACCTCCATCCTGGCCATTTTCATGTCAATATCACGCACGAAATATGGCCTCGAATAAGGTCAAACCAACCAACTCACTAACAAATACTGCCCTATAATTTCTCCACGATTCTCTTACTTTTATACTACTTCTCTTCTTCTTTTGTAAGCTACGGACTAGTCGAAAATGCGACGAGTCTCAAATACACTTCCCTTGTACAAGGTTGGAGGGAGGGAGTCTTAGACACGTTTGTCTTACTGTACCATCGTACAGTATTGCACAGATTGCTCATTGTTCCACAGAAGGAGAGCTCATTTTGATGACCTTAACATTCCTCGTTAATACTTGGAACCCTTTCCAGTTCTAAACTACTCCCGAGACCGAGACATTATGCCTCTCTGCTTCGCGCCACACTTTTGTACGACCTTTCCCCATTTATGAAGGAAAGAGTCAAGCCGTCGCGATACACTTAGGTGTGAGAATTGCAAGGGGCACGGCGTCGGGATAGATATATCGAGTGCATATGCATGCACCTCTATGCATGTCACTACTCTCTCCTATCGAAACATCGCTTGCAAAAAACCTACAGCAAACCAATTTTACACGCGGGAAAAAATCAACTATATATTTAATTAGGGGTTGAAGCGTTCTGCGATGTAAGATCTTCCAAATCTTTCTCTACCCTTGCTTATTCATAGGCCTTATTTATTTATCTTTATTCATGGGATAACGTAATTTTACGGCTTCATTCCACATTAATGTAACCCAGCTTCGATTCCAACCTTTATTTTCTTCAAAATACTTTGATGAATCTACACTCTTTTCACGATCATAAGATCTAGATTTAGATGTATTCTCCATCCATCATTTCCCCAAATCCAACTCTAAATCAACAAACTCTCCCAATCCATCGAAACCAAAAGAACTGAAACCACCCTAATTCCCACGACGTCATAATTCTTCCTCCTTCTTCCAAACGAAACCCCTGACAGCCCCACCGCTACCCCCCGGATCATCACATGAAAAAGATCTGTGCGTTTTTTGTTTAAATAGGATACCAACTGACCATCGAATTCCTCAAATCCCATTGTTGAAGTTTTTCTTCTGCGGTCTACAGGTTTCTCCATTGTACGAGTACATATATACCTATCCAAAGATACATATATACATACATATAGAGCTACGAAATAGAGGAAGAGAGAGGAATCTTCACAGGCAATATGTCCAACTTCCAACTCCTCACAAAACCAACTCCCTTGAGTGGAGAAGCTCACCGCAAATCTCCTTCTCTTTCTTTTACGCCCTCTCTTGCGCCCTCTTCCTCAGCTTCGAAATCTACATCGAAATCTAAATCAACATCTTCATCTCCATCCTCCTCATCTTCAGCCCTCCGTCCCACCTTCCGTCCCCTCTACAAAACCCTCTCACTTTCCTACCGATATCCATCCTCCTCTTCCTCCACCAGCAATCCCTCTTCCACAAACGGTACTTCCACTACTTCGACTAATTTTACCATCCTCCTCTCGATCTACAAATACATTGATCTTTTAGCTCGTCGTTTAGCGTTTGAATTCGCGTTGTTTATGTTGGGGGGCGGGTTTAATCTCATGCTTTTGCTCTTGTGGCCTGGGTGGATACCGGTTTTGGGGGTGGTGGGGGGTTTGTGGTGGGTTTGGGGTTGAGGGGTTGGGGAAAGTGGAAAGTGGAAAGTGGAAAGTGGAATTTTGGTATTGGGATAGGGGAACGAAGAAATCGAAAAGGGGAACCCATTGGGGATGCGAAATAGAGGGGGAAATCACAGGAAACTTTCGACCAGTAGGGTAAGAACTTGCGCTGGTGTTATTATGTTCTTTCGAAAGCTAATTCTTCGTTTCTATCCAGGTTTCATATTCCTGCCTGTTTTAAGGCTTCCGAGTCTATCCATCCATCGATCCCTCGATTTAATCATCCAAAGCGCTCCAGGTCTCGCAACAATTATACAAGTTCGATAGACCTCCGCACTTCCAATTTATACCACCAGGACCACAGAACATTTCCTCAAGAAAAGAAGAAGGCATTTCCCCCAGCATCTCTCTTAACTTCGGTCTGGTAGTCCTTCTCAGGGTTAAATTCTTGCCATACGCTGGCTGGATAGATATGTTTATTCCTCTCATACCATCTGCGATCCACTACTTTTGTAAAAGTTGGGTCATCGCCAAAGCCCTCTAAATCTTCGACTTTCGTCGTGGGGGTTTTGGTACCACTGGAAGCGGAAGGACGTGAAAGTGGGTTGTAGGATTCTGGGATAGGGGAATCGGTGTCGAGAGGGGTTATCGAGGCGGTAGGAGGCGGTGAAGAGCTATGAGAGAAGAGGACTTGGCTATTGGGTCCAAGGGTATGGTTTATGATGAAGTAGTAGAAATCGTAGTGCTAGATATCAATATAGTGAGCATTGTATCCAATACGTATTCAAAAATTGAAAGCAAAGCCAAGACAACTTACATGCGGAATAATCAAACCCCCTCTAACCAACATCAAATCATCTACACCGACTCTCGCCCACTCTCTATTACTGTTCGCCTTCTCTCCAACCCCTAACTCGGCTCCGACTTTCCTACTCCTATCCAAGAAAACCCAAATAAAATCTCCTTTTTTCACCCTCGCTACTCCACCCGGTATATTTGTCCCATCATAAAACACAAACGGAATTGCAATCTCTGTCCCCTTGACCGCTTCTTGAATTGCCAAAAACTCTTTCCGTAACGATTCTCGCGTCTGCGCTTCTTTCAACAATGCAGATTTAGTCAGCGTTTTGGGGACGAACGAAACGCTAGAATTGACGCCTATTTTCTTCTTCTTGTTTGGAATATCTGGAGTTGCGGATCGTGAAGGTTCGGACTCTGTATTTTCTCCTCCTTCTTCGTCGTCGACTCCGAATGATAATTTGGGTGTTCCCGCTTTCTTTTTCTTTTTCTTCAGGGGACCAGATTGATGATCGGTGGGTGTGGAGGCACTGTACTAATGCTATTAGTCCTGTTCGTAATATTTGACGCATGCGATTCATCTCGCGCTTCTCAATTTCCCTCTCTCTTAAACCCAAGCGCAAAAGAAATCGAAACAAACTCACCCGTCGCCCACAGGTGTACTAGCTCCACTTCTTCCGCTCCCAATCTCCTGCGCATCCCTCTCCTTCATCTCTACCGCCTCCGCTCTGCGCTTGCGAAAATCAGACAGCTTGACCAATCCCACGGTTTGCGTACTGAGCACATCTTCAACAGTTTTCGATTGTGATGTGAAGCGCGACTGTGGATTTGGCGTTGTGGTGCGCGATGGAGGTTCGGAGGGTGGATTGGACGACATGTTTATGGGGATGTAAATTATATTGTGAGGGAAGAATCTGAGACGGTCTGGATCTTGAGAAAATGCTAGGTAGGTAGATGGTGACTCGAGATGTGGCTGTGGTGTTTGTGGCCAGTGCTATATGCGCTTAGTCAGAGAATCTAGGTACACCTGCAAAGGTTGTCGAGAAAAGATAACTCGGCAATGTTATCCGAACCTCCGACGTCATTTGTTGAATTGAATTGATTGATTGAGTAAAAGAATGTCACTAAGAACTTGCTTGCAGAGAATCTTACCCATCTACCTTGACTTCTACCTGGCAGAAACAATCTATATCTGCACATTCACACATACCAAGATGTATATCAAGATGTATGTCAACGATGTAAGTATGGTGGAATATCTATCAACAATCCTCTCATTGGCAGATGTGGCCTACGATTCACAACATACCACCAAATAGAAAGGATTTCCCCGGAACTTATGCCAAGACTTGGAACGCCGTTAAGAGTCCAGAGAGAAAAAAACCACTTCAGATGTGATCAACCAGGATTAATCAAGGTTTCTTTCTTTCCTCCCCTCTCTTCCTCTCCTTTCGCCAGTTATTTATATCAAATCAGCCTTAAAATCGACGAATTCATGCGTTGCCAAGATTTTAAACATAACTTGGCAAAAGCTTGATTGTTATCCTGGCATTTTCAGCGTCATAATCCTCTGGAGCCCCTCCAATCATCCAAATTCATCGAATCCGAATGCGACGTTCTATCAAAAACAGGTAAAAACGCGTGGAAAGAGGAAGAGTAGGTACGAATCCATCAGTAAATGTTACTAAAATATTTATTCCGACGTTGCTCTAAAGATTATCTTTCTTAATTGACAATATAATAACTGTTGATTTATCCCCCTCTTCTCTGGTCTTTTTTTGCTTCACCATGACATTCTATCAAAATCTTGAAGCCATTGTAACTTTGTTTGTACAACTTTTTGTGATATTTCCATATAGTGCTTTAACAATTCGACGCCAGCGAGAGTTGATACCAAAGGACAAACGATCAATTGAACATACTGCACATTCCGAAAAGAAAGAACCAGAAAGGAATTCAGGAGCCATGATATCAGATAAAGTTTACAAGCTCTGTACGAGCCAGGAGACCGTATCCTCATTACTCGCAAAGGATCCCACTATGGCACCGGGTGATGCATGGAAGCAGTTGTACGGAGGGCATGCGGCAGGTGAGAAGGAGAGTAAGAATGAGGCTAGGAGACATCGCGATACAATTACGCCAGAAGATTTGCAGAGAGCGTTGGAGTGCGGAAATTGGGGCTCATCCCAGCCAAGTGAACTATTTTTAAAGGTAAGAGGTCTTTATCTGACAATTAGAGATCACTGTTAATGATTGGCAGATGTACCATGATGCGCTATGTACTCTAGACAATAGCGTGAGCAATTGTATGGTTAGTCCGCCATTGATGGGAAGTTCTGGTGTTATGCCATTGAGTGTTATTTCAGTGTATGTACCACTCAAACTTCCCGAAATGATATCGGACGATATCCCCCTTTTCCGATGAATATTCTAACGAGAGAAAATATTTAGTGTGCCGGATATCATGCGACACATGTCAAATCTAATTGTTCGAGCCGAGAAAGAAGTTATTCTCGCAACAAATTATTGGCAGAATTCGGTTGCCTCGAAATACATCACAAATGCCATGAGGGAGCTTTCTAGAAGAGCTGGTGAGAGAGGTGAGAGGATAGTATTCAAACTACAATATGACAGAGGAAGTGCAAAACAACTGCTCGACAATCATTACTTCGTCCCGGAGAAAGAGTATCTAGGCAAAGCTGTTGCACTTCCTGCAGCAGAAGATATCCCAAATATCGACCTCCAGGTCATGAACTATCACAGACCTATGCTCGGAACATTCCACTGCAAATACATGGTTGTGGATAGAAAATTTGCTGTCCTCCAAAGCAACAATATTCAGGACAATGACAACATGGAGATGATGACACATCTGGAAGGACCAATTGTTGATTCGCTTTACGACATGGCTTTGATTTCTTGGCATAAGAAGTTTGAGCCGCCATTACCCAGTCATAATTCCCCAGCGGTTCAGGGTGGGCTGAGGTCATTTGAAAACAAAGGTCACAATGAAATTTTTGATCAAAATGGAGCAATCAGGGGCCACTCGGCTGTGGTACACCCGGAAAGAATGCAGGCACGATCAGCTTACTCATATGAGCCTCGAGCTTCAAATCAGCCTGGTTATATTCACCCCGAGACTACAGTCGATGGCAATGTAGCTACAGGACCTTCAACGACTGAGAGTATCACACACCCAGTTGGAAATTCTGATAATGCAGAAGACCTTAGCAACGGAGTCAGACAGATTCAATTGAATGGCGACGAGAATACTCATCATGGATTCGAAGTTAAAGATCTCAAAACTACAGAAATGATGGCCGAAAACGCAAGAGCAATTGCAACAACAGGAGATGCTGAGCATGTTGTTCACACTAAGGATCCCGAGAAAAAGGTGCCTATCTCACCTGAAAATGGTACTCTAGCTCAGCATGGAGTTAATGGACCCGACATGGAGACTCAAAAATTCTTGAGTAATGGAAATCAAGTGATTCCTCAATCACAAATCGAACATCCCTCGCCGTGCGGCAATATTCTCCCGGAACACACCACTGATGACCCTCATTACGACGAAGATATCGCCGGCGAAGTAGCGCGAGTTCAAACCGCTGTATCTCCGAAGAATGGGGAAACTAGAATTGAAGCTGTTACTCGTCATCTCAACCACACCAAAAACCCAGGTTTCAAAGGAAATGCACCGGATTGTGCACCACAGGAGGAGATGACTCCTTACATCCCTCATCCAGTTCATGAACCATTCCCGATTGCTATGGTTTGTCGTGAACCATATGGATCACCAAATCATAGTTCTGTGTATAATCCGCAAAATGAAGTTTGGCTTTCTGCATTGAGAAACGCTACCAAGAATGTCTTTATTCAAAGTCCAACACTTAATGCTGAGCCTTTGGTTCCGGAAATTATTAATGCTTGTGAGAGGGGTATCGATGTTTATTGCTATATTTGTCTTGGATATAATGATACTGTAAGTTCTATACCCATATTTCTCAACCGCTTACCTGGAGGTTTCTAATTAATGACTCTAGGGTGAACTCCTCCCGATGCAAGGTGGCACCAACGAGATGATCGCGCATAAGATGTACACCACTCTCTCTGACGCCGGAAAACAACATCTCCACTACTTTTTCTACGTGGGTAAAGACCAAACCACCCCATTAGTAGCTAAAAAGAAGCTTCGCGATTGCCATATCAAAGTCATGATCGTAGATGAACATATCGGTATTCAAGGCAACGGAAATCAAGACACACAGAGTTGGTTTCATAGTCAGGAAATTAATGTCATGATTGATAGCGCGATGGTTTGTAAAGGGTGGATTGATGGGTTGAGGAGAAATCAAAATACGCATTTGTATGGGGAGGTGGGGAAGAGTGATGGGATTTGGAGGGATGATAGGGGTGAGGAGGCAAAGGATGTTATTGGAGTTGATCCTGGGAGGTTTAGTTGGGCGAAGGGGTTTTTGGGGGCGATTAATAGGGTTAGGGGGACGGGGGATTTTTAGGTGGAGGGTGGGATGAGAGGCGGAGATGGAGATGGAGATGGAGGGGAGAAAGAGGCAAAGAAGAGAGAGAGATAGGGGTAAAAGAGAAGGATAAGGAAGAACATGAATTGCATGCATTTCTTTAGGTGTTCGAATGGGATTTTTACCAGGTACTGGAGTTTGGCGATGAATATACGCATATATGAGTATGGAGAATGGGATATGATAATATATACAAGAATCATTCACAACATCGCCTGTATCCCAAAATCTACTCATGCGAGCGAGTAATAGATATATCCTCGAGCACCTGATCTGAAAACTCGCTAGCACAGATGGATGGATACCTAACTGCAAAATCAACATCGCTACCGCGGGACTACTACTCCAGTCGAGATTCGAGAATGAAATTTGCGATTGTTTGTTTGGTATACTTTCATTCGAGTACAGCACGTTTTTGGTTTGGGTAACTCGTTGTGCTTATTGGCCAATTTGTCAATTTGTCAAATGGGTAAGGAAGAGGAGAAGATCAGGGGAGTTCAGACACGGGGTGAGAGAGGATTGATTTTTCGTGAGGAGAAGCAGAATTCTGGATTGTGCTTGCTTGCTTGCTTGCTTGCTTGCTTGCTTGCTTACTTGCTTGCTTGCTTTTCTAGGGTTGGATTGGGGGTTTGAGGAGGAGGTTATGTATGTGATGTGTGTGATGTGTGATGTGATATTGGGATTTGGAGGTGTGAGTGAGGATTAGGGTGGTGATCTTGTGGTAGGAAGGAGTTTTGGGGGGTTATGTTTTTCTTCTTGGGAGGGGGGGAAGGGGGGGGTCTGTCGATTTGTTTCGGAGCGTAGGTAGCGGAAGAAACTTACGCGTCGGATTTTACGGAATTTTTTGTACAGCGTATGTATATGTGTTTCATTTTTTGAAGACCCAGGAATCCAATTTGTGTGTGGTGATATAATATGATTATATAGTACTTTTTCTGAATTCAATTATATAAAGAATTGAAAAAAAAAGAGGCTTTATTTTTAGTCTCTTAATGCTAAAGGCTTATTAGATACTCAATTTAGTAATATTGAAGCTATATTACACGCTCCGAAATACTAACGAGTTCACTCGCCCCGAAATGTAGATTTGATGGAGTGGAATTTTCGTTTCTTGATGATGAGTCTTTGCTGTATTGTGCATGAGACTTTCTCAGCAGCAATCTGCACCAGTATTGACGGCATTTCCTTCTTTGTATTCCCTGCTTGTACTAAGATTACAATTTTTTTTTAAACTGGTCAAACCTCCGTTGGGGATGATTGATGCTGGATATCCGAATTCGATTAATGTTTTTCTCAGGTCTAAAGTCAAAATCAAGATCAGTTGAAGCGAGAATATAAGGGGGGACTCCCTCCTATTGGCAATTGGAAACTTGAGAGATGGTTGTTGTGGGAAGTTCTATGAGGCGTCGAAAATGGTGCGTGGTTATATATCTTGATGGGAAAGTTTGAGATGTATGATGCGTATTGTTTTTAAGAGATATGAGTATTCATCTTGCCATTAGGTTGGCAAGTTTTCGTAGGATTGGGAAGGAAGATAGGGTATCATACTGGGCTGCCATTTCTATCAGCTGTGTCTTGAGTCTGGGCCTGGGACGCCTCATATGATCAAGCTGTGAGGTTGCTTCTACCTTTCATTGAATGGAACATTGTTTTCGTATTGTTCTATTTGCCTCTTATGTGTTTGGTGAGTCATTTGCTTTCATTGCCGTTAAAGTCTCTGTGTTTCCACCAAGGGGCGCAAATTTAATGCAATGAACTCCTCTGTCGTGGTCTTTCTCTCCCATCTGTGGCGAGTTCTCATCTCAGACCACTTAAAAAAGTAGTCATTGCATCATCTTACGTCTGAGCTAGAGGTGAGTTATAGAATGTGTGGCTTGAAATTTAATATTAAGGTAGGTAATTAAAAGACTGCCGATATCATCCAGAAACAACTGTCTTGTCACTTCCTCGATGTTTAAGGTACTGAACATTGAAATAATCAAAAATACTAACAACTTTGACTCGTCTCCACGCAAAAGGAAGTGGTTACCACAGTTAGCTACCTCTTCTGTCGTATGTAAGAAGTGGATGGTCAACACTTCTTCCACAGCAGAGTCAGAATAATCATGGAATCTACTCGAAATCAGTGGAGGCAGAGGCACGAAAGGAAGATGGCAGCCGAGAGTTTAGGATAGGCCAATATAAAAGGAGAAGGGGCGGATTTGCTTCACATCACATGGTCACTAGGTCGGCTTGACTTAGTCAAGAGCAGGATAGATCAATGCTCTTTCTATCAAACAATCATGTCTCTCATTTTTCTAAACATAGCAGTTTTTTGGGTGTTCTAGGTATTTTCATTACATTTCCCTGCATCAAATAAGAATCCCTCAGGTGTATAATCTTTCACGCCTGGACTCCATACGTCTTATTTCTTTCGAACGCATTCGAATTTCCCAACACAATCATGTCAGCATTTCAAAAAATCCCTCCAGAGGTCCTAACCAAGATTGTTGAGATTCTTCGCGAAAGCTATTCGCCCTTCAAACTTGATAAGAGTGTATATAGCCTTGCAGTAACATGCAGACGTCTTTACATAATATGCGAACCCCTTCTCTACTCCCGATTCAGCAACAAAAGCAAATTCAAATCCATTCGCAAACTGAGCAGATTTATTCGAATGCTCATATTGCGACCAGATCGGTGGTCTGATTTCAAATTTATTTCGATAAGGTGGGGTTACGGAATCTCTCGTCTTTCCTTGAGTAGAGATCAACACATGGAGCTCGCGGATGTTCCATTCTTGAAAACTGCAATAGATGGGCTGCCAGACGAGCTTCTCAAGTTACAAAACCGAACAAATGGCAATACTGGAGGAGTAGAGACATATGTGGCAGATCTCATAAAAACGTTCAAACGACTATTAGACGTGAAATTTGCTCTGACTTACCCTGAGTTAATGATATCCATACTCACTATCCTGAGCCCCTACATAAGAAAGCTCCAGGTTAAGATGAATTCTTCAGATGCAAATGCTCCAAATCGTCATTGGCGGGCGCAAATCTTCAGAGTGGTAAGCCCTCTCAAATTTATCAAACTTGAAGAACTCCACTACGTTGCTGTAACTTTCCGCGAATCAGATCCGAGAAGAGTCATCTACACAAGCATGAATGCACAACTGCTCGATAGCTTTATGAAAATACCTGCCCTCAAGAAATTGAAGGTCGATGGCTTTGCATTCCAATCAGAGTCGCTCTCTCGTGAGGTCACGAACCTGGGATCATGCGAGGCAGAATCTCTAGATCTCATGTATAATTTCGAAGTCAATTTCATGAATTGGACAATGTTTTTTTCCATATTCTTAAAGCTAAAGCATTTCTCATACGATGGAAATTCGAAAGACATGTTCCGCGACGGAAGGCGTGTTGATTATTTCGTCGTTCCTGGATTTCTTCGCAGACTTATGAGAGGCATCTCTGTGCATGGCGATAGCTTGGAGTCTCTATCTTTGATGGGGATCCGCAGGTCAGTCTCTGAAGATACGCACATCGAGTTATTGAATACTACTGTCTTTACAAAATTCTCCTGTTTAAAACACTTGAAGATGCAGCTGGATCTGTTGATAGGTTTTGAGGGCTGCTCGGAGGGTTCCCTTTTACACGAATTTCTGCCAAACTCTTTAGAGACTCTGGAATTGTGGTCTCAAGATAGACTTGAGTGCGGGACTCTCACCGGGAACTTATTAGGGCTGAAGAGACATAAAGAATCCGATCCAAGTTTTGCGTTGAGAGAGGTCAAGTTTGTATATGTGATCGAGATCTTTCAGGTTGAGGAGACTTGGAAAATTGAGATGATCAAGAACTTTGGGGAGAATGGGATTCATTTGGTGTTTGTTGGTCTGCCAATTGAAGATGCTTGGTGGGTCCATCAATTCTAAAATTGAGTATGAAGGCTATGTCAATAGTATCAATGTTTTTGCTGAAGTTTTTGTACTAGAGTCCTGGCTTGTTGAATAGACGGATTATGGGAAGAGCGAGCATGAGCTGAAGAGTTTTACGAAGTAAAGAAAAGGAGTATAACTAAAATTATGGATAAAAAGAACACAGATTAAGGGGTTATAGGTTAAAAGCCTGAGGTTAGAAGAAATATAGATAAGAATGGAGTAGAATGATACACTTCTACCATATATTTATCAAGCCTCAATGCTTTTCTCGTGACAGAGTCTTCAGACTCTCCATTATACATCAATGACAAGCAAACAAAACAGCACAGCGGAATCCTTCATTGTGTAATCTATCCCTAGTGGCCGTGATGGAGCTAGCGAGAAAAAGGGGCAGAATGGTTTCATGTCAACCTACGAGTCAGGGGAATGTGTAAATTTTGGATTGTCTCTTGACTCCTGCTCTTTTTATATGCCCTTGATGTATATCGATTCATGAAATTCATTCATTGCTAGATATACATTTTGTTCCGAAAAAGAATGACCTCAATATCCATCTCATCCTACTCATCGTGTATTTATAAAGCACTCTGTTATATTTCCTCATTACTCCACACAGTTTCCCAAAAACTTTTACCTGAAAAGACTGATCGTGGAGGAAGGAAATGTTGATCGAAAGGAACAAGATGGACAGAAGAAATGTGTGTGTATTGGTGATACTAGAAGCTAAAGGGCTGTGTAAAGACTGATAAAAGAATATGACCTCGCCTCTTCTCTCGTTGTGGCTTCAGAAGTTAATGTTCGATGACTGGTGGGATAGTCCCAAAAAGAACGTGTATATATGCAACGAAATGAAATGAAATGAAATGAAATCAGTATGACATTTATCTCTTAAAGAAAGTTTCCGGGGTGCTTTTCCCAGATTGTGGATAATCGGATTTCTGTCTTGGTGTCTGCCCCAAAATTGCCGCAATCAAGCTTCGAAGCTTTCATGGCTATTTGGGAGGTCGAGAACCAAAGCCACAATTTTGCTCCTCCCAAGGAATTCATTTACGTATCAGGCACAGGAGAAAATGGCGCTATTTGTCTTTGGTAAGTTGTCGATGAGACCCCAGCCTCGTGATGTTCATATGATTGTTATCTCTCTTGTTGTCCAATCTGGATGCCGGAAATTGCCTCTGAAGGCTACTAATGACAGGCACCCAATCCGTTGATATACGTCAAGACTTTCAGTACTCTGAAGAATCAAAGCATTCATGGTATTCTCAGGAAAAATTGAAATGCTGATCAGCAGAGCCTTTGGGTGGGAATCCTTGCATCCATATGCAATCAAATTGGCTTCGAAGATGGATTCTCCATGCACTTGATTGTACAACTTACTTATTTCATCTTTCGCATTCTCAGGGCAATCCAGAAAGATTGATGGGATTTCATGACGGCATATTTCTAAAGTTGTCGCTGAGAGCTTAACATAACCCCCTTGCACCATCCCGAAATGATCTTCATTCTCGTTCTTAATGTTGATTTCAGTGATTTCAGCATCTGAAGGAGGTGGATTATCATCATATTTTTCGTCATCAAACGAACAAGGTGAATTATCAACACGTTTTTCGTCACGATAGATATGAGGAAGTGACATGTGGCTGGCACTGACTGAAGCCCAACTCCAAGATGGCGCGATGTATTTAGTATGCCGTATGAGTGGCAGACGACTGTGGTGTGACCTTCGCCAAAGGAGACCTTTATGGAAGTCATGTTCCCAAAGACCTGCCTTGTACGCAGTAGGAGACTGTCTCATCTCTTCGGCCATCACCTTGGCAATAGCCGAGATACCAATTAGTACATCTTTTGGCATAGTTATGTGACGATGAATATAATCATTCACGATATCGTACCACGAACGCAATGTCGTCTTGTTTTCATTCATATTTCGGCGTATAAAATCAGTGTGGTTGCCGCGTGACGTACCTCTCCTGTGGTTCCTTAGGGTGATTTCTCGAGTGGGAGATGCCTCTATGAAGCCTTGTGTGATGCATCTCCAGTACAATTGCTCTTTTCCGAAAGTAATCAAGCGCCGAGACATTAAGTTTTCCTGCAAAGTCCAAGCACGTTTGCTGAGACAACCTGCAAGTGTATATGGATTCAAATCCATGGAATTCATTACATACAGCCTCCCACGTGCTTCAGGATGATGAGGATCATAGCCTTCGATCGAGAAATTAAACTTTCCACATTGCTGTTGGCGGAAAACATTAGTACTGTCAAAAATCCCGGACGCAGTATCTATGCCTGCTCCTGCTGCAATTGTCAAAGAGGCGCCTCCATAAACATCTGCCATTTTAAGTGACTCAACGGCCCAATCTTCTGGTGAATCTTGTATAATACACAAAGAATCAATCCAAAGATATCGATAACCTAACCGACGAGCAACAACAATAGCATCTTTCATGGTTTGAGGAAGGCTGGAAATAGGTATCTTATTGCAATGCTGTTGAAGATTTTGCCTCGTTGTTACTGCTGTAGGTGAAGAGCCCCAACAATAGCTCAATGCAACCCAGTTGCCATTTCTTTGATTTGTTTCTACCAAAAACGGATCCTGACCTTCGTGCTGTACATCTATAACCCTGGTTGGCAGTTTTTGGTTAATCTCGTCTCGATTCTGGCATTTCTCGTGCTTCGAGAGACATTGCTGTAACCATGTGCATATAATGTCGAAGCTTTCTTTTGATGAAACATCTGACGATAGTGGTCTGAAGGGTACACGCTTGGCGAGTCGGTCATCTTGACAGAAGTTAATTAGCTTTGATATCTTCATCTGATGAGACCTGTAGCATAGTCTAACCTTCTGTAGTGTAAATGCTCAGCTGAAATGCTTCATGAAATGGTTGCCACACTATTATCTGACCCGAAACTGGAACAAACATTTCAATGAACTGGGCCTGAGGGTCCAGGCCTCCCTTGAGTACGATGTCGCAAAGAACGCATCCACTAGTAGCTGCGTCAAACACGTCGCATACTTTACGTGTGATAGTGTTATAGATATTCAATTTTCGACAGAACTCGCAAAGGAATGGAACTTCCATCAATAAAGGCTGTGGCGTCCTCATATGATAAAATCAACGTTATTTAGCAAATTGCCTGGTAGTCCTAAGCTTCTGCAACTTGTTATCAATGCTGGCTACATCACCAAAACTGAGAACTAGAGCTTTGTGCGATGGCTTATCAATTAGGATGTCGCCAAAGTTTTGTACACGTGGCTGGCAAGGTAATTACAGGGATCTTCTGCTAGGCATGTTTATAGAGACCTCGGGAGGCAAAGAATGTGGTGAAAAATCAGTGTTCTGGATATAATTGAATTAATTTTGTGTGTATAGTGCCTTTGTATTCTTGCGTATACTCAAGTAGAGCGAATAGTCACTCAACCAATATTAAACTCGCTCGCAGCAGCCATATGCTCCTTCATCTTCCTCTTCATCCTCGCGGCAGCTTCATTACCATCCACAGTAGGTAAGTCCAACTCCATCTTCTTTTGTTTCCGCACTCTTTCTCCCTCGGGTGCTTTGTCTTCTTCTTTCTCGCCCCTCTTCGCCTTCCTAGCCGCGACACTTCTATCTGCTTTGGTCATCTTCGCTGGTCTTAATCCGGGTACCTTTATGCTTCCAGGTTTGTCTCGTAAGGCGAATGCTTTGGCCAAATGACCTAAGTGCAATTCTTGCATATTGAATATATGTCTCTCATTTGCGACATGAGTGGCATAAGCCCTGATATGACTCTGGTATCCACGGCGTGCCATCTCAAGATATTTTGGCGAGTCTAAACTCCATCGTTCAACTTCAAGTTGGAAATTTGTAGCTCTCTCTTCCCATTCGCGACCTATACCGCCGAAACCCTTTTGTATCAAATCCTCAGCAGTGTGACGTGTCAGGGCTTTCTTTCCCTCACGGTATCCAGATGCTAAGATAGAAACATATTCCTCCTCGACGCCAGGCATAAGGAAAATCAAAGCACGACCTTCACGACCAGCTCTAGCTGTTCGACCAACACGATGCAGATGATCTCCCGCGCTGAAAGGTGGATCATACTCGATGACAAAGTCAACATTTGGAAGATCGAGACCCCGAGATGCAACATCAGTACATATCATAACACAAGGGTCCGTGGATTCGGAAAATGCCTTGAGTGTCGCTGTTCTGATGTTTTGTGCAAGAGATCCATGAAGTTTGTGCAAAATTACAGGGTTTGAATTATTCGAAATCGTAGTTCCATGCGCAATGGTCTCTTTGACCAATTCTGATTTTGGCAATGCGGGGAGATCGACCTTCTCCTCGTCCGCAACCGCAGCTGAAGCTTCTGAAGTACGAGAGAAGAGCGAGAAGTGAAAGTCAACAGAGTCAGCACAAGAGATGAAAACAATTGCCTTCATCACGGACCCTTTTCGTGCAAAAGCACGTTTCAAGAGAGCCGTCAGAGTAACGAGTCTGAGCTTCGCAGGAACGATAGCATATGACTGCTTCAATTGCGTAGGGGCAGAGAATGCTTTATCTTGCACTTCAATGCCATTTTCCTTGTCTTGTTTCTCTTGTTCAGAAGGATCCGCTTGAATGTGCACAGCATCCTTCAAACTGATTTCTCCCAAGCGCTGAACGTTCATCTTCATCGTAGCAGAACACAAGATAGTGACTCTTCGCTTCGGAAGTGACCCCATGTCCGAATTTGCTTTAGCGACTGATCTTCTGCCTATTTTCTCAACGATGCCTTTGATCTCTTCCTCGAATCCAAGCTCCATTAATCTATCTCCTTCATCCAACACTAACCATCTTACAGTAGCTACATTCAACACTTCTGTATTATCGAGATGATCTGCCAATCGTCCCGGTGTTGCGACAAGAATATTGACACCCTTTCGAAGTCTAGCCTTTTCTGATTGCTTACTTTCTCCTCCGTTAACGGTCGTACCAACAATCCATGGCGCACAACGTAAAACTTTCTCCAGCACAGCTGCGATTTGTTTGCACAGTTCTCTTGTGGGTGAAAGAATAATCGCAAAAAGTCCAGAATCTCGATGTATCTGTACGCCATTCTCACTCAATGCCAATATCCGCTCAACTATAGGTAGTAGGTATGCCAAGGTTTTTCCAGATCCAGTCTCTGCTTGTATGAAGGCATCACTGTCGTCTGATATTAGCTGCCGTACAGATGCTTTTTGGATGGCGGTTGGAGCTTTCATATCGAGTTTAGTCGATAGATGGGCTGCAAGCCTCCTCGATAGTCCTAGATTGGTGAATGTCGCCATTTCCTCTGTCAGAGGCGCATTGGATGGTTTTGCCGGTTCTGCTTGTTCTTCAGGCTCATCGAAAGTTTTCTTCGAGGTTGGATTGAATGTGAAAAGAGACGAGACAACCTGGCCTGGTTTCCTCCCACCCTCAGCAATTTCGCGGTGGACAGCAGCCATTTCGCGGTTTCGCATACCATCGATACTACCATGTGGGAGCTTTCCGGAGACATAAGCCGGTCTCGATTCATCCTGGAATGAAATGGCCTTCTTTGCGCCAGAATTTATACTTCCTGGAGGCAATTTTCCGGAAGCATAAGCAGCTCTACCCTCGTCCTCGATTTGGGTAGCCTTCTTTCCACCAATATTGATACTTCCAGGAGGCAATTTGCCAGCGACGAATGCTGTTCTAGGTTCTTCTTGAAAAGTTGTCTTCCTACCTCCTCCAACATTTATACTTCCAGATGGAAGCTTTCCGGAAGCGTAAGCTGCAGTATTTTCATTTCTTCCACCATAAGAGCTGTAATTATCATCGACTCGTTGTCGCTTTGGTGCTCTTGATGAAGCTCCTCGCCCAATATACTCTTCTGCGCTGGCGTCATGTTGTGGTTCAGAGAATATTTCTCTTGTCGATGGTTTATTCGTGCTCTTAGTAACTCGGTGCTGCGCAGTTTTCTTCGCAGCCAATCGATCCTTCCAACGCCCTCCTTTAAATGCTTGTTTCGCAACTATAGGTACATCCCCAATCTCAAAATTCATTAACATTCCATCGTCGGCCATTGTTGCTAGTTTGCTGAAAATTCGATCTGAAATGCTTTGAAGTTCCAGAAACAAAATGCGCAAATGCAGAAGTTTCGTTCCAGAAAAAAAGTTGAGCTTGGACCACCATCCTTCAGTCCCACCCACCAGTCGCGGGAGGTCTAAGCTATTCTTGGTCAAGCGTTATTCGAGCTCCAGCAAATATCAAAAATTATCTCGGGCTTCATTCTACGCTGCACATAACAGAACAGGATGACTCAAATTTATATTTCTTACCGATATGGACCCTAATTGGGTTGTGGATATCAGTTCCTCATTTAACTTAACATTGAGACTCAGTTTGGAGTACAAGACCTCCAATTGTTCACGATGATGTCGTCCCCCATTCGCCAATCGATGTTGCCCCTCCTCAGCTCGACTGCCAAGGTATACGGCGCACCACGAGCATTCTCGACAACTTCTGCCCTTCTCCGTCGAGTCGCGAATCCAACTATACCGGGTACCTCTATCAAGATATTCCGAGATGTACCTGCTTTACGCCAATGGCGCCGTAAACAATTAATCGATCATCGAATGGTTGGTCTCGTGCCAACCATGGGAGCTCTTCATGAGGGTCACCTATCACTTATTCGCCTTGCTGCAGCAGAAAACTCAAATGTCATAGTGAGCGTCTATGTTAATCCGACCCAATTTGGTGTTCACGAAGATCTTGACAGCTATCCGAAGACATGGGGAAAGGATTGCAAGATGTTGAAGGGACTTGATATGGAATTGGCCGACAATGGGAACATGGGTAAGATCGCAGCTGTATTTGCGCCTACAACAGAAACGATGTACCCGAGTGGACCGCCAAGTCAAGAGGTTAAAGCGAAAGGAAGCTTCATCACTATTACACCAGTTGGAGAGCTACTAGAGGGGGCAAGCCGGCCAACATTTTTCAGAGGAGTGGCTACTGTCTGCATGAAGCTGTTCAATATTGTTATGCCAGATAATGTTTATTTTGGACAGAAGGATGTACAGCAAACTGTTGTTATAAAGAAGATGGTTAAGGATTTCTGCTTCGACACCAAAGTTGTCATCGGAGAAACCCAAAGAGAGCATGATGGCTTGGCATTGAGTTCACGGAATGTTTATTTGGGAAAGAGGAGAAGAAATGTAGCTACAGCATTATCAAAAATGCTTAAAGTTGCGGAGCAGGGATACAATCTTGGACATCGATCACGAGATGAGCTTCTGGGGCCTGCATTGGAATTGTCGAAGTTGATATTAATGGAACAGTATCAATTGAAGCCCGAAGAGCGAGTAAGATATGAGGTGGATTATATCTCGTTAGCTGATCCTGAGACGATGGAAGAAATCGAGGAGGTTGACGAAACAAAAGGCGCAATCTTGAGCGGCGCAATCAAGATGTTGCCAGTAGAAGCACCACAAGTTGGAGAGGATCTCGGTTTATCTGATGGACCTCCAGTCAGGCTAATAGATAACATCATATTGAAACCTGTTAAGGTCTAAGCTATCAAGACACATATATAGAAGCTACATACACTAGAGAATAAACGGCAGTTCTTGTCCGCCATCTTCATCTCGATTGTTCCAAACTATTGTACTGCAACAAGCCATATCCACAAAACAAGCTCATCGAAAACACGTTGTGTGATGCAGATCTCACATGGTACAAACCAGAAACAACATCTGAAAAACATCATGAAACATACTACCCCACACCATTCTAAAAATGTAATTTCTCAATAACATCCTGTCGAACATCAACTGATGCATTGACACCGCGTAGTCCTGTTGCAGTCGTACTTCATCGTTGCCGTAGATCATTTCCATTATGCGAGTTCAAAATGTTTTATAACATGGAGATATCGTTGGAGAATTCACAGAAAAGGAAAGTCTAGGCTTGAAGTTCTCTTCCTGTTTTGCTTCTTCTACAGTGGGTTGAGGATCTGCTGGAAACATGTTAGTTACATATACGAAGAGGTTCTTGGAACTCCAGCTGAGTGGGTCTACGAGAGTATCTATTTCATTCCAGAGAATCTTGAATTTCCTACTGGTGCTCTACGTCCTAGATTATTCTTCTCGTGCCTCCTCCATTCTCTTCGTGACAAGGGCTACAGTTTCTTCTTCAAGAGCAGATATGTTCGAAGACTCATCTTCTTGAACAATTCCATATTCATCCTCAACTTCTTCCCCATTTCCACTAACACCACACCATTTAATCACAAAACGAATCTCCACCCGTCCGCAAAATCCGCATGATAATCCAACCCGAAATTCCCAACCTCCGATCCATATATGTAATCCAGGAAATTCCTCCGAAATTCCGAGGACCTACGAGTAGAGTTTAAGAATTTGAACATCTCCTCAAAATTTGCACTTTCAATTTCTTCTTTTGAATATAGAAACGGCATCAACAGCTCAGAAATAGTTGACTCAGTCCTTTTTTCGCGCATTCGTTTGTCAGATATGCGAAATTTTCCTCGGCGTTTCGATGCTCGATGTTGATACCAGGAGGAGCCGGTCAACTAGGTAGGTGAATTTGATATCTACTGTCCACATCTCACATCTCATTACCTACCGCAGGAATTGATTTCGACATTTCGAATTCGGGTGTGGAGAATATCTGAAGGTTACTTCTTGATTATTACTTGTTACTCTCGGGTGGGGGGGTTGATGTTATACACACTGCTTGAAAACCCCTCTGCGTTTTTTTCCCCAATATTACACACATCACGAAAGTTTCCAATTTAACCTCAGACTTCCAAATAAACTACCTCCGAGTTCCTTCGATTCATGCCCCTGTTCAAATCCATCATTCTCATCATCATTCCTCGCATCTTTCGCTTGCAACCCTTTGCTTTACTTAGGTACATCCCGCACATTAAGCCACTTTCTTAATACTTATGCTCACAATAATTTTCTTCACTCCCCCTTTCACACCGAAATCTTTCCTGCTTCGAATTTTCTCTGTCTCTACTGCCACTATCGTCACCTAATGCAAATACTTCATAAAACCCAAGTCTTATGATTATGTCTGTGGAAGGTTGGGACTACCTTCTCTTTCAAAGATCTATCATTCAGTCTATCAGTAGTTGTTTTGATGCTAAACTATCATTGGCTCTACTGCGTTCTTTCGAGAGTAATCTGTAATTATTCTCAAAGAGAGTATACATATGGGATTCTAAATGATGTGCAGACTGAAAATATGCCTTAGTTGAGATTTCACTTCACACGCGTTCCAATGAGACTGATGGGGTACGAGCTGCGTATGGGAGGTTAGCACTCAGCATTCACAATGAACTGTTCAGCGGAATTCATTCTGAACAGTGTTATATCTCCTCAGTATAAATCTATATATCGAAGTTACAATCCTACAACAAAACCCCTCTCATCCTTTGCTATAAACACTTTTTATTTGATTTCCTCTCTGCAAACCCAAGACTCCCACTCCCATGGTATCCCTCTTTCCGCCCCAAGGACAAACGCCGTTACACTAGGTATCTACACACGAAAACCGAACCCGAGGATATATATGCACACAAGAAACGAAATGAAACGAAACCAGACACAGGACAAGATAAATGCTTAAATTATCCTATAAAAGCACCACCCTATGCTAACAAGAGAAGCGAATTAAACTTTAAACAATCCGATACCTGCTCGATGGATAGATATATACGGAAAGCTACCTAGGACCAGCCTAATTGTTTCCGGTAGCGGGGAACTTTTGCGCCGTCTGAGAGAGACTCATTGCGCTCAATGCTGCGTTTGAGAGTTGTGTGATGCTGGGGAGGATATTTGGGTTTCTATGGATTGTTAGTTTATAATTCGAGATGTGAATGAAAGTGGATGATGCTTACCGAGCACTTTCAATGGTAGCCACATTAGATTTGACCGAAGCCGTTGAGGGGTTTGTCATCATAGCTTTCAAGCCCTTGAGAACCGCAGGAGTGTTCTTGACAATTTTGCTGTTTGCTGAAGAACCTGCACTACCTGCTGCGGCAAAGAGGACTGATCTTTGAGAATCCTCATCTGATTCGGCAGCAAATGCTTTTCCGGCTAGTGCTGAAATATCCGATTTATCCGTCATGCTCGGAAGTTTGTTCAAGGCTGCTGAGACGGTATTGGCATCGCTAGCGAATCCAGAGACAGCTAACTTGACTTGTGCTGCTGTGACCTTTTTGCTGCCGGATGTTGCTTTAGATGAGGCGACATTCTCGTTTATATCTTCTAGATCGATTGCTGTGGTTGGCTTTGCGCTAGCGGAAGATGTTGAGGATGCCGTAGAGGCTGTGGAATTGCCGGATAATGACAAAGTAGAGTTTCCCTCTCGAACGACCAAGCCATTGATGGAGCCAGGTCGGATAACGGGTAAGGCAGTAGAGAATGTGAGGGCTGAGAGTGCGACAAGGACATAAGAGAACTTCATTGTGAATGTAGATTAAAGAATGAAAACAATTAGAACTTTAATGGATTGAAAACTAAACAACTGCTCTGTTGTGAATGATCCATCGACGGTGTATATACAGGTAGCCAAGAACTTCCAAGAAAACTTCAGATGCGTCTGAAATCAATCAGCTGGAAATTAGACTGAATGAAATTTCCAAAACAACTATGGGACGTCAAAAAACTATGCTCAGACAAATTTGCCGTTGGAGATGTCCATTTTGGGCATAATCCGCGAGTCGTTTCGATTTTCCACTACCAGCTAGCTTTTTCATGGGCAATGGTCTGGATCTGAAACAATACTAAAGTAAATTCGTCCAATCAAAATCCGTACTGAATCTGTGACATAAGATGACTGGGGAACTTTGTTCCTTTTTACATGACGGTAATGGCCCAAAAATTCCATATCTCAGTTTTGAATCATCGAAACCTTTCGATTGTACCCACAAACTACTATCAGGTACCACGAACCGATTATAGTTTTAAGGCCCATTTTTAAGTGTCTTGCATAGAAAGCTTGTAATGACCGAATCATGAAATTGAAGTACAGGATTATCCCAGGAAGGTCTCTGCGGCTGCTTCACATCTATCCAGCCTTGAACAAATGGAACTTTTTACCGATCTCATCTGAAGATGTTGTGCATGCTGGAGGTTAGCTCAAAGGTACTAACGTACGTGCGACATACGCTCAGACTCGGGATTTGTTGCGTAGCGTGATAATCATCCCACGACAATAGGCTGGCGGAGAATTCTCCAACAGTTGAAGCTAGCATTACAAAGGCTTTAAACCTTGACGGGACAGCCCTGACTATGAATAGAACGACGACTTTTAGAAGAAAAGGGCTGAAGATCTGTGCGAGTGGGGAAGTGATTTTGAAAGCATGAATAGATCAAACCACCCAAGAAATCCAATGCTTCAAAAGATGCCAAGTTACCACTTGATCAGAATTTTATATCAAGTTTTGCCGTATGAAATGCAATATGATATCTTGGCATCAATTACTGTTTGGCAGTCATAATCATGTGGACTGAGCTTGTAGGGCCATGATTGGTGTTGATGATGATCGAAATTGGAGTTCGTACATATTGCTTGTTCTTATACTAACTCTTGAACCATGTTTATTCGTGATCAACGTTCTCTGGGGGTTATCTCCACTAAGTGAAATCATAATCTACCAGTACTGGACGGAAAGGACCCGACACTGCTCAGAGCAAATTTGGCTTGACATTGACCAGTTCTAGCTATCGCTATCTGGAATCCTTCGATCTCTCACTGAGATCCAGTAGTCAAATCAGAATCATTTGTATGTGATAAAGAAGATATCGATACATTGATAACAATCTTTGCAGGCCAACGTGCAGGATAGTCTTATCAATCTCTAAGTTTGGAGAGTTGTATGTCTTGAACGAGTTCATCAAAATCACTAACGCATTGGTGGAACGTGATGTCTCCATAGAAATTTCTTGCTTGAAGGCTTACGTCCGAAACTTCTCTCTGGAGTGCTTATATAAATATGATGCCGCTCGCACTGCCAAGGTTGCTCGGACGGATTTCAGGATCCAAATATAGTGCAGGAACTACTCTGTACACTTCCGAAGAGAATTAGGGCCACGGTACTGCACAAAACTTTGCAAAGTATTTGAGATAGAAAAGTGATTGGATATGGTAAGAGGGTAGGAAAATCATATTGAAATCGGGCAATAACAGGTGAACGTCGACTATCACTGCCCAGGTGGGGCGTGTAGATTTCTCGTAAACTGATGCATAATTCGATGTCGAGATTTACCAGTAAACGGAATCGAAGTGGAAAAATCTACAAGTTGATTGAAAATAAACGTAAAAACTTCCTATCACTGAGGTTTGGATTCTCAAATCGAATGATGTTGTCCATAGACTCTTTCACGTGCAGAAGATTCATGATTTTGAAGGAGTCGCGCTAACGATCCTGTTACGCAATAAGGTTACCCCTGTCAAAAATATCTCCGCGTCGCGTTTCCGGGTCAGTAGAACATTGGGATCAAGTGCAAGTAAACAATTACAATCTTTCTTGCAGAACAATACTAATTGGAGATATTATTGTCGATTGAGTTACTGCGATTTTGTTTTAAGCACTCATACTTTTGAAGTCATTGGGACCAGTCAAACAATCTCATAACGCGCCGAAATATTGCGGGGTCTTGAATTCAATCCAATGGCTCCCGAACCTGGCTCTCAGTATCCCCTCTACAACACCACATTTACCTTACACCGTGCTTCTCCACTCTACATTGGCGACCAACCTCTTAATAATTCGACTCTACAAGTACATGCGCGCCGATTTCGAGATGTATTAGCAGGCGATGTTTTACGAGGAGTTCGGGTTGGATTAGGATCTGAAGATGATACGCTGGCTCGTGTAGGAGCTCTGCAAACAGTGGTGTGGAGGGTATTCAAGGTAGAATCGGAATGGGCCGTTGAAGATACCACAGGTGAAGCTCTTGATGAGTCTGTGTCCGAATCTATAAATAATCGCGGCATACTGGTTGAAGTCAATTATGAGAAAGCGAAATACTCCGCAATTTTATTACGCGCCACTTCTGAAGACGACATGGACGACTCGATCATGGATAATTCTCACGACCAAGCTGGATTTCTACGCTTACCACTAATTTTGACACGAATGCCGTTGTCGTTGAGAGAAACATTCATCCAATACATCTGCAGGATATTCGACACAAGGGTGTCCGCCCTGAAGTTGGAAGGAAAACATTTGATGGAATCATTCGAACAATACACATCCAACTCGATCAACTCAGATGCAACTGCCGAAGAGCGCCAAGTCAGTATACAAAAGATTATTAAAGAAGTCCAGATCTCTGTTGGCTTCGATATACCTGGTGGATCGGCTGCTCTCAAAACTATTGAAATACATATTTCTAGGGAGGATTTACCTCGTATGCTTGCACGAGGAAACAAAATCACGAAAGACAAATCTCCCTTTATGGCTGCATTGAAAGCTTATGTCAAAGCTCATCTGGCACTGGATCTAGGGCATGAGAAGGTGAAGATTGTTAAGGTTGCATGTGGCTCGTTTGTACTTGGCGAAGGGAGGTTGAAATTCACGCAGCCATCGAGTGGCGAGCATAACGATGATGGACAATATCGAGCGACCAGACAGCTTCTTAATAGTCTTCTGGATATCGCGTCCGGGCGAGGAGTTTTGGGAGAGAAGTGAAAGCTGGCATGTTGTCTCATGTCGAGGGCTCTTCACCCTAACCAAATTCATTCGACGATGGTGCTCCTAGCAATGAGCTCATGTAATCAAGGGCTTACTGAGAAGGCAATACAGCTTCACATGCTGATGTCAAAGAATACATCCAGAGCTTGTGATCGGTGCTGGCTACACCGAGGGGAGTGCGTATCGGAAGATGCGACTTGTCATCTTATACCCTCGAGCCACGACAAGCCGAACTGTATGCACGTTAAGTACAGTGACAGACCTGCCTCAGGATCAGCGACATACCTTCTTGTTGCAAGAATGTCAATTGATGTATCTTGATGTAAGCAATCTGGCTGTGGTCAAATCTCAAGCCTTCGAATAGTGGATATCAACCTCATCTGGCCGTCCATGGCGGTCTAGGAATATAGCATATCAATGATGTTATGGGATGTCATAGGTTAATATCGTCGCATTGATATCAGATCGATTTCTACAACCCGAATTTATGGTGGTTACGAAATCCCACTTTACACAGGAGATTTAATGGACTTTTTACATAATTAGCGAATTGAGCCCCTATTCAATAATGATAGACACAATAACAAATTTGTGAATCGTGCACATGCTCTACCCGTTCGTACTCGAGCATCTGCCCAACATCAAGATGTGCTTGAACAGAACTTTGTTACTATCACTTCAACTAGTCAACTAATACTTTGACTACTAGGTACCTATCTACTACATACTAATCAACCAGTTTGCACCCACGAAGCGAATTATTATTCACACAACAGCAAAATATGATTCACATACAATAAATACATAATACGAACAACTTCCCTCTCCCGTCCCCCCACCATGTATATATATTGCATTCCACATCCCCCACTTCTATATGCAATAGTGGGGTTGAGGCTTATTTTCATTTCCTCTTTGCTTTTTCTGAGCCGTTTCTTCAACCGGCGCATGTGGCGTGTTATAGTTCACCAGTCTTGCCAGTCTTAGCCAGTCAATCAAATCCTTTCAAGAACCCGTGATCACGCGAATTTCTGTTGGAGGTGGGGTTGACTCACGTCTCCAACCAACTAGTAAGTACCTTAGGAGCTTAGGTAGGTCGTGCTCTTCCTTATTCCTCCGTAGATGGACTTGTTGGACACGACTTGTTTCTCATTTCTTCGATTCCATTTGATCTCCTTTCTTACAATATCCATATTCATATTCATATTCATATCCATATCCATATCCACACGAGTACGCTTCCATAACTCCCATACTTCCATACACTCCCACTCTCCCGACCTTCCACTTCCACTTCCACTTCCACTTCGAGAAGGCAATCGCAATTAACACATATTAAAAATCGAGTTCAATTCTTAATCACATCTTTATATCGAATATATGAGATCATCACAGTTTAGCTACCCACTGAATGAAATAAGATAATTGATCAAATCAAACCACATTTGCATCTGTCATTCAAAGAAGAAGGATCTCGACAGAAAAAGCCAAAAAGACGAAACACACGCGGACAATCGAGGCGTCTGTCCATCTTTTTTCGCGATTGCGCGCCGCAACCCTCATTTCTCTCCACACACACACCCATAACCAGAATCCACACACAGACCGAACCAGCATTCGATATCACCCGCCACAATCATTATCAACCCTCGAACCCTCCAACCTAATAATATTAAACATCAATAGTTATATCGATAATCAATTAATTGATCTCTCTCCTCCATTATATTCTTAACTTTGACAATTATCACGACATTTATCGTTGCATTATTGCCATCTTCCGCAAACACCAGAATCATTCAATCTACGAGTCATCGTCGCGACATTGCGATTCTACATCAGGGTAATTTAACAAGATCGAGTCCCACTTGACGCGACGGAAACCCGCGTTTCATTCCACCTCCCCTCTGATGGCAAACAACGATATTAATGCCACCACCATTGGTGCGCATGAACCGGCATTAGTAGAAACCCTCCAGAATTTGATATCGCAAGGGGACAAAGAAGGATACCACGCCGAGAAGAGCGTCGCAACACAACCCGCGATTGCCATCGCGCCCGTATCCGACAATTCTCAATCGACAGTAGACGGTCAGGACGCCGTATTTACACCACCAGCTTCTGATGAATTCTCTTCGCAAAGTACCAATCAAGATGGAGGACCTTTATCGCAACTCTCACAACTCTCACAATTGGCTGCCGCACAACTACCACTCGAAAGTAATACCCATACAACACCGCCAAAAATCAACATCACTTTGAATGCGAGTCAGAAGAGAACCGCAGATGGTCATGTAAAATCGAAAGCGTCTAATTCAACTTCACCCAGTCCTAAAGGCCCATCATCCGTTCGAAGCCATACAAGAAATACAAGCACAGTCAGCAATGCATCTTCGGTCGCAAGTAGATTTGGAGAGGTTAGTAGAGAGTTTCTAGAGCAATAGGGTACTTGAACTAAATGTAGACAGCTATCCTCCGAATTAAGAACTCGTCTTTCCTATGCAATGGTTAAAGTTAATAATGGATGGGAATCGAAATCAATCAATGAAGTTGAAACTATTGCATCACAAGCTGGATCTCCAACATCATCGAATTCAACCCTCAACAATCGCAGAAACCTTCACACTTCTCCTAGAACAGCTATAGCAAATATTCAGGGCCAAGGATCTAGGGATGTATTTGGACCACGACCTACAGCCGATTTCGACCTGTATACACGAACAGAACCATTATCTCGCACCTATGAATCATTTTGGCGTGACCATTCTACCGCCAACGGGGCCCAATCATATAGACACAACTCATATAACTCTTCGTCACCACAATCTAAGTCTCTCGCTCCTCCAGCTGATATACGACCAACTCCTCCTTCCAGAAGATCAGACTCCAAATTCTCAAAACTTCCATCCATCCCACGCCACTCGAGCGCTAATTCGCATCATTCATTTAATAATTCTGCTCCTCAAACTCCCAGTGGGACTGCTCATCGTCGCTCTGAGCATACCATAACCTCTGAACACAGACCAACAAGAGAACAAGAGAAACGAGAGACTCTAGAACAAGATGCAATCGAAATGTTGTTATCCATGGGTTCGCCATCGAATTCACAAACCATTGGACCTAATATAACTCCTCCACAAGTGGCGAAGAAAAGCCCCAGGCAAAGCCCTCTTCGAACAGAGTTCGGGCAGATGACTCAAAATGAGAAGGTTAAAATGGGACCCCAGAACCAACGCAGAGTGGAGTTCGCAGAAAGTGTTAGTAGTGGTGGAAGCGACAATGGATACCAAGCAGCAAGCCATAGGAAATCTACCATGAGAAATAACCTTCAAAGCAGACGAATAACGGACAGGATGTTGGATGAAATGGATGAGAGTAGTGATGAAGAAGTCGAATTACCTTTACCACAGGGAAGACGTATACCAGGGCGTGTCTAAAAGCATATTACGCAGGTCGATCGGATTATCTTTACGTTTCGCATTGTATTGTTATACGAAGTCTCACTTAACTGATGAAGTACATACAAAGAGGTATCCTTCAAGGAGTAAATACTAGCATTGTTCGGAGTATTCGGCTTTCACATGATCATTCGGGCGTCGATACCCATCTATCATCACATTCGTCTTTTAGCACTTGAACTGCATTCTCGGATTATGGTCAGGGTTATGGATGTGATAGGTCTACATTTGATCATACTGTTTCATTGGCTCGGTTATAAATCAGGAGATTCTGGGGGTAGGGTATTTTTGAAGGGTATTTTTCGGGTGAAGGCGTCACGTGGGTGTTTGGGAAGTGATCATTTTTTATTATCTTTATTCATTGTATATACATACATGTGTGTGTAAGCATCTGGGACTGGGCGGTCATCCGGTGCATAGACTAGCTTGGTAGCTAGATATTGGAGTAATATATTTATTCGTACCGTGGCGTGTTTGAGGTGTAGGTACCTACCTACCTAGTATATATGTATATTTCTTTCTTTCTGATCCTTGAGACTTGACTACTAGGTAATAACTACGGTCGTAGTGAACTAGGTAGGTAGGTGGTTATGATGCGAATAGAATTGTTCGGTTCGGTCTTTGAATCTAGCTAGAGGGAATGTAGATAGGGAATATAGGTAAGAGATATAGTACCGTTGAGTTGGGAATTATATTATATCGCATGTTGAGTAGCTGATCAATTGATGTTGTGTTGTGTTAATAGGGGGGGGGGGGGGGGAGGTTGTGAGAACTTGAGAACTTGAGGAGCTGGGTGGGTGGATAGGTGGAGGTGGATAGCTGGAGGTGGAATGTAAAGAAGTGATATTTTAATGATAATAATAGTAATGATTAAACTTGAATTTTGTATGTAAAAAAGAGGAGGGAGGTTTGGAGGTGGATATACATCATATGTAATAGATACGCAGTGTGTGAGATTACTATCTAGGTATGTGTACACTTATATACAGTATATATTGAAACTCGAGTTGGAAGGGTACGAGAGAGAGATTTGGAGTTTAGCGTATAGAGTTTGAAACGGATTAATAAATAATAAGTAAATAAGTAGATAGCTAAGTGGAGAGATAATATTGAAGAAAGGTAGAGATCTAGGGAAGAGATGTAGGGAAAAGATCTAGAAAAGATATAGAAGAGGAGAGGGGCCCGGAGTTATATTTTTAAGGAATACTAGGAAAGTTGATATAGATGTTTATGGTTTTTAATGTTTTTTTTTTTAGATATCCATATTAGGTGGGTTTACATCTACGGTCTTTTTTTTTTTTTGTCGGATTTTTTTCCGTGGGGTGAGTAGTGATTTTGTTGGATTTATGATATTGAGTGTATGATATGATATAATGTGATGTTTAATCCATGTTTATTCTTTCATGAAACTGTATATTGATTTTCCCATCCATTTGCGTGTCGATGAATCTGTCTTCGGTACCTATATCAGAGAATCTGATGGGTTGGAGAATAATCGGTATCTAGGTAAGGTAGATTCGGGTAGTAGTGAAGAGTTGATTGGGCGTGATGTTTTGTGTGAAAATATGAGAGATAGGAGAAAATATGAGAGATAGGAGGGAGATGGTGTGAAATTGGGGGCTTTGGAGGTGGTTGTGGGATGGTTGCTGGATTGGTGGATAGGTGCATAGGTGCATAGGTGTAGGAGAATTATATATAATGCTTTCCCTATAATGGTAAAGTTAATATTTAGGTATAAAAAGAAATTCAATACGAGTATAAATCCCCAGATAATTTTTTACAGGGTTTTCAGCAATAAGCGAGAAATTCTTCTAGAGAATTCCAAAGACTATTTTCAGATATTATGATTACTTTAAAATGTATGTGGTTTTCCTGGAGATATAACGAGTTAGAGAAATATACATGAAGTGACTTTCTCACAGGTTTCAAAAGATTGGTCAGAATATTGTATGTTGATAGAGTGAGTTGGTTGCATTGTAGATATTGATAATTGGGATGTTCTTTCTAACCGAACGAGCACTATTCCTGTGCCCCGTATTGTCTTCCAATTCATTTGCATGTATCTTAGATATATTCTTAAAGGAAAGATTCTCTATTCTATGATTACATCTTAGGAAGTATTTGACTATTCTAAAATCCTATATTTCTTGATCCCAATCAAGAGTTGCAACATGCTATGTGCGCTTAAGATCCGTACAGATTGACTTTGGTCGACGATCAAAGGTTCTAAATTCCCACTGAATGCTCTACCCTACCAATCTATTTCCTCCAAGTCCCAAGGAAACTCATCATCTTCTATTTCAGTACACAGATATATGTTTTCAAAGATCCCATGTCCTGATTGCTCATATGTACAGCCTAAAGCAATATTTTTTTTGAGTAGAGATGATATAAGTTCACCTAGCTCCCCCCCTCCTCCGCTGAAAAGATCTTGTAATGAAGGCTCATCAAAAATAGCTTCGTACATACAAATAGTTGCGCCGATTGATCCTTTCGAGTGATTGCATTCAACAATTTTGTTAAGATCAATGGTTTTTTCACAAATAGCCCAAAGCAGTGCACCTTGAGTCTTGGCAAGAAGCTCATACAAGACACTAAGCTTGGCTTGCACCAATTTATACAACTCTTGGTCTTCTTTGATAATATCCTTCTCAGGATCTGGGAGAGAATCCCACTTCCCGACTGTATAGATCAAACATTCTCTGAAAAGCACTCCGTGGCGAAGTTTGCGGGCCAAAACAAGCAAGGATACACAATCATCGTGACATTCGCAGGCTCTGGAAAAGTAGCACGGACCAATGCCATCAAACATGCTGCTCTTGAACAAAGCTCCAGTCAAGGTTGCCGAGACGACTGGTAGGGCGCAATAGTAATCGGCCAAGCGTGTGAGTCTTTTGAGCTCATCTGCGGTCTTAATTCTATATTTTTTGAATTAATAGCACAAAGGAGTCTTCGAAGAGCTTCGATTTCTTCCTCGGGTTCATTGACAAGAGTCAGTTGTTGATCTGCTATCTCTGGCGACTATAGTTCGAGAGTTAGCACTAAGTGTTTGTGGAAGAGAGTTTGCGGGAGACTTACATCTGAGACTGGCATCAAAGCCCAGCTTCCATCTTCGTCAATGACAGAGCGATAGTCGTATTTGAATAGAGCACAAGGTGGTGCAGGTTGTTTGTCAGCCTAGAATATTGGAGTTAGTGATTGTCTCTTATAGAAAACTTTGGCATGAAATAATAAACCCAAGTTCATCATCTTGTCAGTGGGTTTGCTCGCGGTGTCTGATTATGTTGGACACGAAAGTTGTTTGGGGTGAGGTGAAACAAGTACCTAGAACCAGGTATTCAAGAAGAATCATAAAGGAAGTCTGTAAAACTCACCGAATCAAGAAACGTGAGAAAATATTTGGAGTGATGTTTGAGACCGGAAGAATGCAAATGGAATTCTTGTCTGAACACCGTGAATCGTGTATCAGCCTTGACACCACGCGCAAGGAAAATGATGGGCGGTGGAAGTTCTCGTTGCGCAGGTGTTAGATCCTCATTGTGCTTTCTTTTTTCGTTTTGTTGTGCCATTGCAATGATCGATTTTCCGTGTTGATTTATCGTTGAGAGTAAGAGAACTGTCGGGTTCAAATATTTGGAAGAGACTAGCGAAGGTATTTTGAGATTCCAAGATGATTGCATGAAAGCTGCTGGGTGGTTTATATAGTAAAATAAGAAGAACAAAATGGCTTGAATGACGTAGTCGAATACGGTCAATGAATTTGGTCAATTTGTCTAGACTACGGTATGCTGCTCACAAACTATTACACACATTGAGAACCGCGATGGCTAGTGTCTACCCGAATGTTTCTATCAGTAGTTCGTCACGTAGATTTGAGTTTCAAACCACACGCTCTAACTCACTTTGTTGAGACTATAATCTATAGTTTTCATACACATACCCATGCGCGTATACACTTTTCAGTTCATTCATGACTAGTCTTGACTGATCAATTTTGAGGAATCTAGTTCGCTGCTCTCAACTCTCTGCACCTCTTAATTTTCACATCGCTAGCTTGCGAGATTACTATGGAACCTTCAGATAATGAATATTCACGAACAAAATTTACACGCATTTACCTACTATTGATATCACATTCCAAGTGAATACTACGGTAGGTTATTGGCGTCAAGTAAGCAACTGCTAGCATCTTAAATAGCCTTCATCTCACCAGGGTTTAGGATCAAGTTTACCACTCCTTCAAGCGAAGATGAACAACAAAGCTAGTTCTTATCGTCTAACATACACGAGAGTTTCCTTTACTTTACATTCTTGAGCGCCATAAAGACCATTTATCCATCTAAACCACAATCACACACTTTTCCGCAACCACATAATAATACGTCTACCACTCTTATTTAAAATAATACGCCACTTACCTGAAACTCACAATGTCTCTGGGTCCTTTCGAGAAGACACTTCGGGGATCCGAAGAAGAAGATCGCGGAAATCCTATTGTCTTCACATCTCCAGACCATAAAACTGATGTTCGTCTGATGGTTTTCAAACAAGAGTTTCATGTGCACTCTCATATCTTGAAGAAAGGATCAAATTACTTCCCCAAATTTCTCGATTCGCCTGATGAGCAGAATATTCCTATATCAGACTCGGATCTATTCCGATACGATTACAGCACCGTTGTTGATGAGGATGGCACTTGGGGTTTGGTGACTGTTGCCAAGATACATAAAGCTCTTTGTTCGCTTGGAGACAATTTAACTAATACACTGACATAGGCTGCGTTGCTAACCGAGGAAATGGTCTCCCGAGCAGAGCATATAGGAGAAATTGAGGGCTTTCGACAACTCCTTTGCGCCATGTATTCAAGTCCCTATACCATCCGGGATATTGAAGAACTATCAACACTTACTCGCATTGCAGACTTCTACTGCGCTCTTCCGATAGTTTCGGCCACCCTCACCAGCGCGTTTCTTGACAGCCCTATATTTTCAAAACGACAAGTTGAAGAGCCAACTGCCTGCACAAAGGATCAGCTAGCGGAGGATTGTGACTCTATGATATTCATCGCACAGTTCTATTCCGCGAGTGTCTAATTCATATTGTAGCCAATTGGAAGGATACGAAAAATTTCAAGTTTCATCGTACTCGAAATGATGAAACTATCTGTTGTTTAATCGAATCAGAGCTCTCTCAACTTTACGAATTGACCATCATGTCGCAACATGCGCTTTGGGTTGCGGCCATAGTGACACAACTTTTGCCGGGTGCACCTGAACTAACAAAAGTACTGGCAGACGCTGTGAAAGACCATATCTCTTTTGAACGTGAACCAAAAAAGGCAGTTACATTCTGGAAAAACTTAAGCGCAAAATTGGCTCAAGTGGGCGACGCTGCATGTTTTCTTCAGTCTAAACTAGAGCCGTTATTGGCCAACAATCTTGTATTGGATCGTACCAATGACGGACCTGGCGAAGGCTGTTATAAGCATTGCTTTCTCTGCACCGAGATCGCCGACAATGAATTACCTGTAAGTACATGCCTTTATTTTGGAAACTAAAATGATGTGCTTACAGTGGGATACCACGGCTGCTGACTGGTAAATAATGGATATACGAGCCATGAGAAGAAAGCGCAGGTAGAATGAATCTGGGAAGCCTACAAGCAAGCTGGGGGCAAAGTTGATCTGGGGATTTATTGCAAACTGGAGTCTGGGATGTTTCAATGACAGATTTTTCTATCTTTCGTGAGGGTACAAGATGTTAAATAATAACCTCGAGTATAGGGGATTGTTTCTGCAAACTACAGGATGCTATTTCTTATGAAAGATCAATTACATTCACGGTCACCTGCTTGCTCAATATCCCAGTCGAGACATCATGCAGAGTATTTTTACTCTTATGAGCTATGTGACTAGACATGAATTGGCTAATTATGTCCCAATAATGTTGATCTGCAAATCCCAAAAAGTCATCGCAAGATTATTAGTCCTAAGTTAAAAGCTAATACCTAAGAAATATTCCCCTACTACCACCACATGCTACAGCTCTCCATGCTAAATCACCACCACTTGATGAGCACCCAACGCGTGAGACTCAAGATTAGAACAAAGCACAGAACATAGAATATAGGACATTGAACATATAACACGTCCATGTGAATTTTACCACTGAAGTGAAAAAGAGATCCTCGAAAGGTGTGGAAGATCATAGGGAACTCTTGAAACATTGTAGTATGGCTTCTGATGTATGAGAATCTATTCATGTGTCCTTATATAGACGTGCAACAAACCGAGGACTATTTCCAATCAAAGTTATAAACTACTGTGCGAAATAAGCATGTCTATCTATTAAGAGAATCGATAGCTTTCTGCTGGCTTCTCAAGATCCACACACCATACTTCGAGACCTGGAAACGCATTGTCCGTCCAGAACCTTGAACAGACATGCAACAATTGAATTCAATTCTCAATTTACATTAGACCTTCCAAGAAGATCGAGGGCTCTCTGACCAACACCCACTAGCGCCAACCTAATTTCTCATCGAAGAGCTAAACTCCATTTCCAGTACTCAACACGCGTATAGTTTCTCCCCCCCAAAAGCACCGACACAAATCCCTGTACAGATATGCAACAAAAGAGAACATCTGCATACGATTTTCCTTCTCATCCTGGACTGCATGCGGGGTTGGCAGGGATGCAGATCATCTATGACTTAGGTGGTCGGTTACTAGCAACTAGCTTCTCTTAAGCTTTCCAAGGTTTGGCCAACGTGCTAAGATCACCCCGGACAGGCTGGGCACTGGACTACTCGTCTGCGATAATGATATCTCGTACCCCACCCTGGCGAGATATGCAACAAATGAACTTGATGACGAATGGGGAAGATGTTGGTGGTGAGGTGGAGTGGTTCCCCGCATTTGTTCGGGATCTGACCTATGGATAAACGATTCTGGTGCGGAGTTCTGATACACTTGTATTTATCGCCGGTACAGATTTGCAGTGTTGCATTGGATTGAGATCTAGCTATCTTGATTTTGTTATCCGCAGAATTTAGCGGTAGCTTTCGATTGAATTCCAAGTATCAATTGACACTCTTGATTTTGCCGCGGAACTTAAGTTTGGAGTGAGCTGTGGTGGAGGGGAATGAATGTCAAAAGTATTAGCCCTCATCTATCAAAGACCGTGAAAAAAGCTTGACTTGTACGTTCTGAAACTCTTAAATGAGCAATTGAGAACTGCTGACCATTATCCGTCCGTCCTCATTATGTTTTTTTTTTTTTTTTTTTTTTTTTTTGCATACCTAGATGTCTGCGTTGCCTTTTCCTGAATTATAATTGGACGCTCTTGAGAATATAACTCCGGTATTCTTAACCCGCGTGTCGCATTTAAAACGTTGATTAAGATGGGTAGTCAGGCTTGTGCTATTGGATTATGGTTTTGACTGAATGGGTGAATATCAAAGAACATCGAGCTGAAGCATGGTGATTAGTGTGTTATCATCCAATCTGTACAATTTTATCTCTCTCGCCATCATCACTATGTCTTACCCCTCATTTCTCGCTAAATAATTTTGTATGCTTGCCTCTAACAATCTCTCAAAAACAATGAAGCAAAGAGTACTGAGATACTCGAGTAAGATGAGTCTTTCGCAACACGGGAGTTCTTTTATTTAATGCACAGCCATGTGCACACAAAACTAAGAATACTTTTATCATGATTACATGATAGGTTCAAAACAATGGTCAGACCTGAAAATTTGAGTTTCACCAGATGGCAAGTCTCAATGTTGACTCCTGGGTAGATCTGGCCAACCAAATGTCCGGAAATGATCGTAGAAAAACGCAATACTAGTATTTCCAACACATTTGAGGTCCCTAACGATAGAAGCTACCGAGACCCAAGTATTATCTTCTGTGAGCGCTTGCCCTAGAGGTTTATCCACGTCCAACGACATGTTCTCGGGTCTATTCACTGGCTTCCTACTCACAGCCACAATACAACTTGTTGGAAGCACAAGAAAACACTTTAAAAAGGGTTATCTCAGTTCGCCTTCGACTCGTTTAAAAACCCCCTCAACTCAAAATCAAGCATAAAATCTCCCCCAATTTTTAAATCTCCCTTCCTTCTACTGATGCCTTCCCTTATATCCATTGCCGTACTCTTCGGTCTTTCGAATCTCGTTTCTTCCATTCCCACATGTACAGATTGTGAGAAATGGACGACACGCTCGGATATCACCCCAGCCTACTTCATTACTGATTTCAACATGGCATGTGAAAAAGGAATTTTTCTCGATTGTACTAGTGAAGCGCCATACTCTATGACCATAAACTACACACCTCCTGATGCCAGCAAAGAAGAGCAAGGTCCAGCGGTATATGATGCGTCGTGCTCTGGATTGACTGGCCTTACGACGGATTACTTGGCATGCGATGCTCCATATAGCTGGGTAACAACTGCGGTTGGGGATGGTGGACATGTGAAGGTAAGGATGGAATTCAAGGCGAATGGACATAGTTGGGGTGGGAAAGGATCGTATTCCATAAATGGAGTTGAAGATAGTTTCTTGATAATGCCGGATTTGTCGAGGGATTGGATTTAACTTTAGCGATGTGCGTTGAAAAAGACTTCTTCGATGGTTGAGACAACCTTTGGAAGTGGAGGAGTTTTGGGAACTATGTTATTCAGAAGAATTGGCTTTGATGCACTTAGAATTGACATGCTCAAGTTTCATGTAGTATATTCGAACTTTGTCCTACGCAGGACGGGACTTCTTCAAGGACATCTTACAATTCTAAGTCCGTAAAGGGATACCTTGTACCTGAACCAAACTTCTTTCTTCAAACTTGTTTCGAGAGATAAGAATCAGTCGAAATGACAAGTTCATCTGAATATGTAATCGAATATCTCGTTCTAGCTGGGATCTCGTTCTTTCCTGGTTGGTGATCATATTCGTTCCGCCAATCAATGTTATATCTGACACAGACTGAGGTACCTGGGTAGGTATATGGAGAATGAACTCCCATAAAAGTGATATGTCTGGCCAAAGCGACTCCAACCACCCCAAAAGCTCTCACGTCATGGAAAGACCTTCGGAGTATATATCTTAAACATGAGCCAAAAAGGCGGCCGCTCCTACGATGCTTGTTTGCAGATTTTGGGCGCCTAGGATTTTGTTAGCTCTATCATATAGCCCACAGTAAAAGATATTTGCAAATTCAAGTAACATTTGCCTCCGATTGAGTTGAAATTCACACCTCGAGGAAGTCTGAAACAAAAAATTCAAGGGAAGATGCCTTAACTACGAGCGACAAGGGACTCGAACCCTCAACCTTAGACTGGAAAGCTTCCTAATGATAGGAGGTCCACACGCTACCATTGCGCCAATCACCCAATATTGCTATGCAGAGCGGTTTGAATTTTAATAAATGAATCCATCAATTTGAAGAGTGACATGTTACATATCTCGACAAATCCCATAATCACGTGCAATAGCCCTAGCTTACCTACGATTTGGCGTGCCATGTGAATTGCAAATGATTGGTCGATCTATCACCCCACGTTGATAATCCAGATTATGGTATTGGATTGGGTTGGGTTGGCATCTCTATCTTTCTTATCACTCGGGGTACAACTTTTTTATATACCCAGGTGATTACATTGAGGCTAGATATCTATTTTATATTTCATCCATACCTTCTCGTCACTCTTTTTCTGAGTTGTAACTGAATCTGCTTCTTTGCATCATTTACAGAAACTGTCAGTCGGCATCCGGCAAACCTTTGCGGCACCATTTTCAGATTTTGGAATCGAAACACTATACGAATATCCTTCCTTAATTCAAGACCTACTCAATATACATACCTGCTCATCATGGCATTCTCAATGCATAGCCATTCTGGGCAATTTTGTCCTGGCCACGCAAAAGATACACTAGAACAAGTGATTCAAACGGCCATTTCCCGGGGCATGCAAACCTTTGCATTAACAGAGCACATACCCCGAAACTCAAATTCTGATTTGTATCCTGAAGAAGTACTTTTTCAAACTCCATTTCCATTTCATCCGCAAAAATCTAACAAATCTAGGTCGAAGCCGGTGATGATATATCTCTATTCGTGCCCAGACACGAAGCCTATCTCGTTGAAGCAACTCGTCTCCGCGAAAAATATAAGAATGAGCTCAATATTCTTATAGGCTTTGAAGGAGAATGGATTCGATCGGATTATGGACCTCTGATCCAAGACCTTGCTTCGAATCCTCTCATTGATTTCTTCATTGGTTCGATACATCACGTGAATGAAATCCCTATTGATTATGACGCTGCATTCTATACCAAAGCGATTGAGAAATCAGGAGGCTCGGAGGAGAAATTATATGAGGACTATTTTGAGCAGCAGTATGAAATGTTGCAGACCTTGAAACCGAAGGTGGTGGGCCACTTCGATTTGATTCGACTATTGAGTGAGAAGCCAGATAGAGATTTGACTGAGTGGAAGGGAGTTTGGGATATGATCTTGAGAAATTTGTTGGAGGTGGTGAAGTATGGAGGGTTGTTGGAAATTAATACTAGTGCGCTGAGAAAAGGATTGAAAGAGCCATATCCGGGAAGACAGATCTGTGAGGTATGTATTGAACGTGTGGTGATATGATAGAGGAAATTCTGACAGCACCATAGGCATATATACGATTTGGTGGCAAGTTCACGATGTCTGATGACAGTCATGGTATTGGACATGTAGGAACAAATTTTGTTAAAGCGATGGAGTATATAGAATCTCTCGGGGTTGAAGAGCTTTATACGTTCGAGCGAACGACTCTAGTTGGATCAAATGGAATCAATCGAACTTTGAGTTTGAAGAGCGTACCTTTATCAAGTGTGAAGGAAACTTTCATCCCTGGTTGATATATAGTTAGGCAATTATATATGATTCAAGCCACGTTAGTATGGCGCATGTTCTCAGGTAAAATGTCATTATGTGAGCGCGATACCTAGGACATTAAGGATCCATAACTAAGAAGGGTGCCATGGCATGGGAGGTGCCCAATGAGGTGGAAATTTAGATGGTTGTCCCTGAATCTAAACACATTTTCACTTCATCGCAATGATATCAAAAGTTGATTTTGCAGGTACGATATATATCTAGTTATAGGCTTCTCCAGGGTTGAAGCGCTGTAGCAGATATGCAACAAAAGAATTTCAAGAGGCGGAACAAGCTCAACTGATTGGCTGGCTAATGCGGAATGAATGAATTGAAAGTGAATGCAAGGGAGAAACAAAGAGTTTTAGGTGATTCATCATTTTTACCGAACAAATTCTATATCTGCCTACCCTGCGTATAATTTGATTCGTCTCATTTGCTTCGTATAAATATAGCTGCACTTGCATTACTTTCTTTCCGTTCAAGTTCCTCGGGAGTTTCGTACTGGGAACAAGGAGCGGAGAGCTAAGAGCCCTCTTTTCTACAGCTCATGGCTGAAGCTTAAATTCGGATTTTGGTTAGGAGATAGCTGTAAATGATATCTCGTCTTCAGTATCTTACCTGGTGTGCATTTAATCTATTGTTGTCATTTAATTCTACCATCCAGTCAGGTGAGTAGGGGCTACCAGATGTCAGATCGGTATACAGGGACGACTGCCACAGGCTTCTATGACTTTTGCCGTCAGTGGCACGTTGTAGATTGATTTGCAACTCAACATTGTCTCATTATTTCATCACCACAATCATCTCTTGTTGTCATGAACTCAAGTGGGCGTGGCTTTCTCTCCTATCTTTTATTAGAATTCAGTTTACACTTGAGTATAATGCACAAGTCGACCCTCCAGTATTCCATCACTTTTCCACCCTACGACGACGGTTTATTGAAGTCGCATCTCTTCCTGCAGAATTTGTTCACACAACAGTTGCGCTTTTAAGTCACTTGTGTGGATATAAGCCGCTCTTCAGTCCGCTGGGTTGATCAGACTTCCCGAATAATCTTTTGAATGAAGAACCTACAGTATTCGCAGGTGACAGAAGTGTATACAATTAGTGAATTTCCCAGGGAAGCCGTCGTGGTGCATGTATAAATATCTGCTTAAGCAACCGCATTTTATTCATTCCCTAAGAAACAGATATCGAAAGATTAAGAGATGCAATGGGAATCTTTTCCCTGAGACACACGTCGAGTTACTTGCAAGTTCGTTCAGACTGAAAGTCTTCTGTGAAACTTCAAATTTCAACCAAACTCAAGCCGTAGATACCATTGTAATCATTCTTAATTCTTCGCTGTCGGTTTTGTAAATGTGCTTACATAGTGGCTCTCGTCGTCGTTCTTTCTACTCGCTGTCTCTGATTTTGCGGATCTGGGCCTACAAGATTGTCGTCATCCCATCTCACCATAAATATCTTGATCTTGACTATGAATCCACTCGCGTGAGATGAAGCTCTGTCGAGGAAGATACCACTGAGGACCCCCTCCAGATTTCACACCCGAAGTCCTTGATTTCGCCTCAATTCCATTTTCTGAAGCAATTTTTAGGCTATGTATGTACCTAGTGGATATTTTTCTATTCCTTAAATAATCTAACTCTATGTAGAATCTAAAAAAAAACAAGACTCACACGCATTAAAATCGTCTGATAATTCACAACTATTTTGTGTCTCACTACCAGTCCCCTTTGTGAAGAGTAATCAAACGTTAGATTCCTGATACGGTAGTGATACCTTGAATGCCATCTGCAATTATACCCGCAGAATGTCAAAATAGACTACTTCCAAAATCTGTATCTTTTCCACGTCATTCAATATTTCTAAGACCCGCTCGTTAGATGGTCTCGCGATTGCTAACTACAAAATTACAGAATACTGTTCTTTGAAGACGTATACTAGTACCGCAAGCCTTAAACAAAACCGTTCGGTAGTTATTTTTCATCATCTTGAGAAGCAAAATATATGTATTGATATATACCTACAAAGAATAGTTCGCTCAACCGAAAGTATCCCAAATTTCTTCTACTTCCGAATTTCTCTATAATGACTTTTCATTAATATCAATACTAACTAGACTAATGCAAATATCATCGTCATAAATCCTATCTCCCTATCATTATCAAAAATCACCATTTTCGCTATCGCCAATTCCTCACCAACCCAAATACCAACATTTCTTAGATGTTGTTCTGTCATTTTCACCCTCTTTCCTCATGCCAAAACTCCATCTTGTAAACAACAAGACGCTCTTCTCCTCTTCTTGCCACCTGCACCGCAGTGTGAAATTTGTGTTTTGCCATTCCATACCCTTTGACTCTCGTGATAAATATATTTTTTATACTCAAGAAATCATAACTAACTCGGTCATGGATTCACTATCCAATAAACGCAAGACCAACTTTCCAGTACATCTCTCTCTCTCAAGAACTTCTGTACATCCAACAATTTCCCTACTAACTACAATTTACAAGGAATCTGTAACCGACGAATCAACAAGCATTACAATATCGACAGGAGCACTCCCCCGCGCCCATTAGCAAAAAGGGGTAGAGAAAATCCTGGATCAATCCAAGAGCCATGCACAAAAAACAAAGTCGTCGAACCAATCTATCTCCCTATACCTTTCCATTCCCACCTCCATACACAAATCACATCAAATCCCTCGCTTGCATCATCGCATATTCTGCGAGCACTGCCGATATCTACATAGCTATCCATGGATCACCACTATTCAAAGGATGACAACGACAACGACAGAAATAACGACAATGATAATGGCAACATCAACAATCTCACCACCCCCCAGCTTCGAAACAGAATATCACCAGAACACCTTGAATTACTCCACAGCCCGCACACCAAAGACCATTCACCCATAAAACTACCAGTGATCCGAAAGATCCAAGTTTCTACTAGAGATGTATTTCTCGAGCCAATAGTTTAATTCATTGTCTCCATACCTACCTACTCTTAAAAGACTCGAAGTTCTAAAAACAGCAAAACAGAGCATTGTCCGACAAGATACAAATCAAACATGCTTCACGCATTAAATCAAACATCACTACCATTCGATGTCGGAGATATGGGAGAAGAATTCCAGTGTTCATCCAACCTATTATATGTATACATGCTCATGTACGGCAGATGGGGTATATACAATTACACATCTTCGCTTCTATACCAAGAAGCCCGGTCATAACATCATGATACTTCCCCAGTATCACAGGGAAGAAAATAGAAATTAAATGATCGCAGAGACACCACAAAACGAATAAAAACAATCACCCAGTATTTCGTAACTTTTTGCCCTCGCGCCGTGTCGCCCAGTTAATTGAAGTTCAAGTCATCAAATCATCCTGCTGCATTTCGATCCTGTGCTGCCTATTGTTTCCACGTTAGTAGTCTCTCCAAGAAAGTTAAACATATTAAAAACATATGAGGAAACAGGGCATACCTCCACCGCACGCGCCCAGTCAGTCCTCATCAAGAACCAACCCTCGATTGCAGCTACCAATCCCAATGCCAACGCAACACCCAGCCACAATCCCTCCAGTTGCCATCCTAGTCCGAAGGCGGTGCCAAAACTGATCGGCATAGCCAATACATAATAACAGAAGAGATTGACATATCCACCTATCTCTTGCCTTCCTAATCCTCTTAGTAATCCGTTACAATTTGCTGCTAGCGCATCAAAGAGCTGGAATGCTGCACATAGAGGAAGGACGCTAGCGACAATGTTTATAACGTCGATGTCGTCGGTGAAGAGGCGTGGGACAATGTTGCGGAGAGAGGAAATGAGTGTGAAGTTGAACAGGCCAACTATACAGGCACCATAGATAGCCTAGTAGGTGTTAATTGAAGAGTGGTGAGACAGAGATGTGAGAATTTTAGATTGGGAGGGATAGTACATACCACTTTCGAGCTGGTCTTAGCCGCATCTGAAAGGGTGGCACCAATAAGGTTGGCTACGCGAGTTGAAGCTGCAATAGAGATTGAGAATGGAATTTGGAAAGTCAAAGCGGTTATGGTAGTGAGAACACTTTGAGCCGCAAGGTGCGTTACGGAGAAGTAACTTGATGCTAGAGTTAGAACTTCAAATGCTAAGTACTCTGCTAATACCATTACGAGGCCAGGAAGAGCGAGTTTGATCATTGGACCTGATTTTTATTAATAAATAGGATTGATAAGATGGCGCAGTTCAAAACTTACCCCAGTTATGGAATGCTCTCCACGTGAATCCGTCCCAACATTCTTTTCCATCGACGAATCGAACGTAGAGAAATAGTAAAAGAGGTAAGAGATTGTCTGTCACAGCAACGGCGATTGGAGCTCCAATAAAACCCCACTCAAACTGCCAAACAAATAGCCAATTCATGAAAGCATTGAGAGGTGCGCAAATAAGTAGAACGTAAGTTGTCGCAGAAAATAATCCTTGTGCTTGTACAAATCTTTTCGCACCTTCGAAAAGTGCAAATCCGGGAGCTCCAAGCAGTAGAATTCGTAGATACAGTCCTGCCAATTCTGCAGAACGTTTCTCGGGCACGATGGTTTCCAGGATTTTCTCAGCACTCAACCAAACTATTCCAATTGGTATAGTCAAGGCCCAGAGAAACCAAACCATTCTCTGTAACTGCAGTCCAACTAGACCCTTTCTGCCAGATCCGTATGCTTGTGCACAAAGCGTATCCAAGCTTGTAGCTAATCCTTGATAGATAGCATATCCAGTAATGTTCGCAGTCATACTAGCTAAACTAACAGCGCCCAATTCTACTTTCCCAAGATGCCCCACTGTGAATATACTCGCGACAGTAAGGGAGTATTGGAGGACGAAAGTCACAATTAATGGACTCGAGTATCTTACTAATGTTTTCGCCTCTCTTTGCCATGTTGTTTTAATTTTTCCTGCAGCTACAGCTTCTTCCCACTGTCTGTTTAATCGCTCATGACGCGAACGTGCAGACTCATGCTGTCCGTTTGGCAGCAGTGCTGAAGTCTCCGAGGGTGCCCCAGACTCTTCATCGCCCATTGGCTTTGGTATTTTTGTGCTGAACAGTTTCCTGTATAGTCGGTTGAAAGCGCTTCGCTTAGCAGGTTCGGGGTGCTTTGGAGGAGCTAGATGGTTGTCCCTCAATAAACTCCTTTCTTCATTTCTCGTTTCATGTCTTTCCTTCCTAGTCAACCATGATGTTTCTTTGAATTGGGGGGTAACGGCAGGACGAGTGCCACCGAATGCCACAAAACTCGGCCGTCGATACGAATGCGTCATTGAATGCTGAGCTTCCGATTGTCGAATTGTAGAAGCCTCTGAAGACTCATCTCCAGAGCTGGTACATTCAATGTGTCCTGGTGCTTCTCCCTCATCTGCGGGGTATTCTGCCAAATCGCGCGCAAGGGATTCTTGAGCTATGGGTGAGCTAGATATGAATGAAGTGCTGAAAGGAGACCTGGAGATTGAATCCCGTAGATGCCCTTCATCTCCAGATTTGATCGGTACTGGGAAAGAGGACGACATTGTTGCAAATTGGTATATTTCTTATCAATGCCGAGTGTTCCAAGAGATTGTTAATTATGCTTGATGAGAGCGAGCTACAGTTCTGAGTCCTCCTTTCTTTCACTCATCAACAAAAAGACTCACACAATTAAATTAATTGAGGCAATGCATGCAATGACGGTCCTACCATAACCCGCACTCACGAACAACGAATGATTGAGGATGAAGAAAAACAAGAAAGTCAAGCATATAAACAAAACAAGCAGAGGTCAATTGGAAATAGAACGAGAGACCACTCACCGTCCATGCCAACCCAGTAAAGTGCTAGGCTCTCTGTCTCTCTCTCTCTTTCTTTAGTCTTTACGGAGTAACAAGTGGACTGAATTGCCATTCAAAGCTCGTTGGTCCGTTTTCATCTTCTTACATGCTGGGCCCTAGCATGCTGACAATGGTTGCGCGGAACGGCGACCACCCCCACCATAGGTAATGCCTTACTTCGTACATCCAGTCCACTGTGTTTATATGCAAAAGAATCTCCTCATCCAATGGCCAGGGTCGATGATTGTGACTCTTGCTCACTAGACCCTGATAGGCAGGTATTTCCTCTAGAATAAGAATATCGGAAACCACCTCTTGGGGTACAACGATTTCCGAACACCGATTCCGATAAGATCTAGTGAGAAGATAGAAAAAGTGGATGAAATCCGGTGTGTGATGGAGTAATATGATTTGTCAAAAAAGATGAAAATAGCCAGCCACCAAAAGCATAAAGGGTCTATGTGGTTATCCGAACAATCGGAGCGGAATAACGATAGAACGAGTCCCATATTTGATCCTTTCGTGACCCACTCCGCTGCACTGGCTCGACTGGGAAGAAAGTCTGGGGTATCGTTTCGGTGAAGCTTAAACTCTATCTCACAAGTGACGAGAGGTACTTCAACAAAAGAAAGATATCTATATATCTAAATACCTATCTCAAGCCTACCTAATAGTAACACTCAATTGGTGCCCAACTTTCCCTCTCTTATTCTCAAAGATTCATCTACTCTTACAATGTCTCGCAGCCAAGAGGAACAACGTCAAGACTCCCAGCGGGAAATATACTCACCAATCTATTTCCCTCGTCGTCCAGCACCTGTTGATGTCGCCAAGTATGTTTCATTATCTCTTTCCGTGAATCCCGCGTCTCAAATAACATCCGTCTCATATCCCCGTTACCAACTCCTACACATTGAGTCGAAGAGAACTGATGAACTTTCTCTAGCTACCATGGCGAATCGGTTTTCTGCACACCACCCCTTTTCGGTCCCCTCCTTTTCGATAATGTGGACTCCGACTGTCGCGACCACTGTGCTAATGAGCGAACATTTCTCTCCTACCTCCGCCTTTCCATTTACATGACTGTCGTATCTCTCGCCATAGTCCTTTCCTTCCATTTGAAATCTACTCCCACCCAGCTCGAACTGCGCATGGCACAACCTCTGGGCATCATCTTTTGGGTACTGTCTCTTCTTTGCTTGGCCTTAGGATTTGGGAACTATATGAAGACGGTTAATAAATATAGTCGGAGAGTGGCTATTGTGCAGAGTGGGTGGAAGACTCAAGGAGTGAGTGGTGCATTTTCTCATTCTTTCCTTCCTATGGGGTTGATATTCCGGGAGAAATTCGCTTTCTATATTTCGGTTGCGACTGTGGCGTGTCTACCGAGAGAGAAATTCCAAAAACTTCTGCGCAGAGTGGAAGGAAAATATTTCAGTCGTTGATGCGCCGGCACCCCAGAGTGCATAATGCTCTACTTGTCTTCGCAATGGACGATGGAATCCCATGAATAAGCTAATTTTAAACATATGTAGGTTCTTTCGACAGTTGCAGTCTCAATAATAGCAGTTTGTGTTTTGTTTTTGGCAACAAGTTCAAAAAGATCCTAGTATGAAGAACCGAAATATCAGGGGTTAAAAAGATATTATACGATTTTAAGCCTCTTAAGCATGAGTACAGCGCTTTTGAGTCATTCTATTTATTTGCATGAGCTATACCGTCATGGAGCCCAACAACTTGTTATATAATATACCAGGTCAGACTCTTTGACTTCAATCTTTTCCGGATAACTTATTCATATTTGTTTCTAGTCTACGAGGTATGGTCAAGTAGCATCTTGAAGCGTCCTTTGAGGATCAAAGGTTGCATCGCGGGTGTCTTGAGGAGGATAAATCTTTGTATGATGAAGTAAAAGTAGCTGATCACTGGGCAATATTCAGACGGGTTTGAGGAAATCAAAGATGTGATGAAACTAAGTTTTGGGTGTGCAGAACTAATTAACAGAAAGATGAAGGGAATTGACAATCTCCGGAGACTTTGGATTGCTATTTCGAAAAGTTCGAATCTTTAACAATGACTACTGGCAGCCGGCGGTTAGTTCGCAGATGCCTGACAATTGACTGATAATAAATTTCCAAGGTTATGGTTATCCATGGATGGATATCACAGATAATTCCAAGTGTAGTGAGTGGTGAATGGACATTCTCTTACACAATACAACGTCTACTCTATTTGATATTTACAACCTGATATTGTGAATCTTGGGAATAAGAAAAGAATTTGTTTCTCTTGTCGAATGGGTACTTTGACTCTGACGTTTCATTGTGAATACTTGTACCTTGAACCCCTGATACTCTGACAACTAAATGGGGCGTGAAGGCCCTCACCGGTAGCAAGATGTATTTGCCGACAGCAGGTATCCAACTAGAGTCTGCAGTACTTGGTCTTTAGTTCAATGAAATACTAGCTAGGACTGGAAATAGAATAGTTCACCTGTTTCTTTTTTATTGCATTTTGAATTGATGATAGAATTGGATTTCTCTTTACACTTCCGATTGATTTGAAATAGTCAATTTCACTCAGCATCGGAGCAGATCCCAAAATCCAATGGTTTTGTGAGCAATCGTTCCTTCCTCTCAACATATCTCCATAGTCACGATTGCTGTAACCCAGCAAAGGAGGAAAGCGCGAGTAAACACATCTCATATCCAAATCATCTTAGATTGTTGATTTTCTCTTCTCTTCTCCTTTTCCTCAAATAAACACACTCCATTTTGCTACACGGAGATTTTGATCACAACTTGCTCCCATTTTGCTTCCTTCCTTTTGCTTTTGCCTTTTGATCTCTTGTTCGGATACAGACATCTGTCGTATTGTGTGACGTTTTTGATTTCTCAAAATGGGATTCTACATCCTTTCCTCCATATTCCTAACGTTTCAGTTGAGTGGATTGGCATCGTCAATACGCCTTGGACATCGTGATCTCAATGCGGACTTTCTGCCATGCTACGATTATATTATTGCTGGAGGTGGTATTTCTGGACTCGTCCTTGCTAACAGATTATCTGAGGATCCCGAGGTGACGGTATTAGTTATTGAAGCTGGTAACCTGCAAGTATTTTCCACCAATGTTGCTTGACATTGCTTACACAGATCCAGAGACAATGATGAAAGCTTCATCAAGTATCCTTTTGAAGATGGAGAGGGCCTGGGCTCAACTTATGACTGGAACCTTTGGACTGCCCCTCAAACATCTCTTGATGGCTCTTCCCGACCAATGGATTTAGGTAAAGGCGTTGGCGGCGGTAGTCTCATCAATGGCATGTGCTGGACCAGAGGTGGAAGTGCCGATTATGATGCATGGGTTGCTCTTGGAAATCCTGGTTGGGGATGGAACGATCTCTTACCTTATTTCAAAAGAGTAAGAACACATCCACTTCCCTTTGATTGCAAGCTAACCGCATGCCAACCAGACTGAGAACTACACCAACGATGTCGATGCTGCTTTTGCTCATGAACTCTATGTCTACCCAGATGCTTCGACGCACGGTACGACTGGATATATCGATGTCTCGTACCCGAAATACTTCTATCCTCAATCTAGTTAGTTGCCTAATCTTCCCTGCATCTATACGGTACAAGAATCTAACAAACAATCAGAGTTGTTTCTAGATGGTCTACGAGAGCTTGGAGTTCCTACTTTGCTCGACCCAAATAATGGCACAACTGCTGGCGGAATGCTGATTCCAAATAACCTTTCGCCAGATAGCCAAACACGTTCTGATGCAAGACGAGGGTATTATAATAATTTTATAAGCCGCCCAAATCTACACCTTGCCACAGGCCTAGTTGTAATTCGAGTTTTGATGGACTCCGCCCCTTCAGAAGTACTTGCACGAGACCTTCCAGCTGGTCAATGGATCACTGGTATTCAAGTGAGTGAATCATATTTATCCTGGTAGCCTGAAGATATCCATTAATATATATAAGATTGCACCTTCTCTGAGTACTGTCGTACGCGAGATTTCATGTTCACGAGAAGTCATACTTGCAGCAGGAAGTATTCACACGCCTCAAATACTCGAGCTATCTGGCATTGGCCAGCCATATATCCTGGAGCAGCTCGGCTTGCCTGTACACATCAATTTGCCAGGAGTAGGAGAGAACTTCCAAGATCATCCCTACGTTGGTGCCGTCTACTATTGCAAGTACACTTTCCTTTCTTGCTGGCATCTCTAACAGTGCTAGACACCAACTCTAGTTACCCAACCATTGTACAGATAGACAACAGTCCACAACTTCTCACTCAAGCAGAGCAGGAATACTACGTCAACAAAACTGGTAGGGTTGTTACCCCAATTTTGATATCAATACTAACGAATGCAGGGCCCTGGACTGCTGGAGCGATTAATACAGTCGCATTCCCATCACTATCTCAAATTACTTCAAATTGGGCCAACATGATGGCTAATGCAGAGAACCAAGGGGTAACAGACTACTTAGTACCAGGCCTAGATGCAAGTATTCTATCAGGGTATGCTGCACAAAAAGACCTTATTGTCCAGCTTCTCAGCCGTTCTGATGTAAGTGCCTATGAACTTCTCAATGATAACGTGGGGCTTATGTCTGTTGCTGCAATGCATCCTCTCTCTAGAGGGAGTGTTCATATTACAACGGATAATCCATATGTGCCACCAGAGATCGACCCACGCTACTGCTCAAATCCACTTGATCTTCAAATATTGACGGAAGCCCTTATGTTCAACAATAAGATTGTGAATACCAATTCTATGAAGTTGTTGCAGCCAAGTCCGTACTACCCATTCCTCCCAAATGCTACACCAGAGACCTTGGTACCTGCAATTGAATCGGGTTTACGAACGGAGTTCCACGGCTCCGGCTCAACCTCGATGATGCCACGCGAAATGGGCGGTGTTGTTGATCCAGACCTGCGTGTTTACGGAACCAAAAATCTTAGAATTGTCGATGCTGGCATCATACCAATGATTCCTGCCTCTCATCTACAAGCACCTGTTTATGCTATAGCGGAAAAGGTATTATACTTCTATCGACCGTCATGTTCCTTGCTGACGCAGTGCTAGGCTGCCGACACCATAAAGCGCGACAACTATGGTTTATCCCCTCGAGGATGTGGTAAAGGTTCTTCTTTTGCGCGCCTTGGTCCAGTCTTATCAAATTTGTCAATAAATTCATTGAAATTATCGGCCTCAAATCCGCTACCTAGTGCTACAACCCCACAAGTTGTGAAGTCGTCACCTTTAGCGCCACCGTCCCCGCTATCGTCCTTACAAATTGTATCCCCTCCTGCAGGATTCCCTATCCCTGGGCCACAAGTAGAGAAGATTTCCTCTCCACCTGTACCTAATTTGGGAAGTTCTGCTCTTAGCGCTTCAGTGGTGTTCCCTGTTTTACAGGGCTGGAACGATTCTTCACATTCACTTGCCAATGAAATGGAAACTACTGTAGTTGGAACACCCGTAAGAAACTCCATAGCTCAATCAACAGCCATGACTCTATCGCTTAGCGCCGACGTTGGGAGCCCAGCCCTTAGAAATGGTTCTGATGGTGCTCCCCTTCCCGCACCAGATACACAAACTTCTGCCGCTACATCTATTGTACCGATATCCGCCTTGCAGACCGAATCCATTTCCCAGCTCTTATCTTCAAGCGAAAGAACTCAATCAATGATGATCAGTCAGGGGGCTCTCGCTCTCACGACACCAGCCACAGCAGCCTCCGCGTCCTCATTACCTGTGTTACCACCAACTACTCTTCAGACTACGAAAACTACTCCACAACCTGAAGCAATTCAAACCTCTAAGCCCTTCACCACCGGCCAGAACGCATTGGCAGATGTGGCAGCTGTATTTGGGGCAAAGTTTGAACAGGTAGCTTCAACTCTTGTTCCTATTCCTGTAGCAGGTACAAATCTACCAGCACCCACGATTACATCACCTGTTTCTGTCCTCGATATACTTCCGGCACCGCCATTGATGTTCAAAACTTTGGAGAGCTCTGCTTTTCATAGTGTAGCATCAATGCTGGAGGACAAGTATGCAACTGTATCAACCTAACCACTAGGCGGTTGATTGTAAACGGATTACGATCAAATGTTTTGGTGAAGATTTTATGTGATTCAAGGATATTGGAATGTAATGAAGGGAAGAGTTGTAGTTTCTGGAAGTTTTGGGAGGTACTAGTATTTGCACAACCAATTTTGAACCGGTCACCTGTCATTAAACATAGAAGTTGCTTCTCACTGTAATTAGAATTATAAGGTTAGTAGTCAAATATAGATATCATCTGATAAGAAACTTTGTGCCCCTTGTGATCTGCGACAACTTGCTGATATTCGATTTGACATGTGTGAGGCATGAGAATATGCCTGCGATTAATGGTACTTTAACATACTTTTCACCTTCTAGTTTAAAGTTCTTCCATTATCCCTATTATCTTACATCTTCATTTCGGCAAAAAAACTCCAGGTATTCAAACTCCGAATGAGGATATCTCCAGTCTATTTTCGGTTGTAGTTACATAGTTCTAAAGGAGACAATGATTAGCTAACATTCAAACTAGTGCCCTTTTGGATGAGGGTTATTGGGCGGGGGGGGAAGGGAGGGGTTCGTACCTAATTTATTAACTCACCTGCGATTCTTGACAGCTTCGACTCCGCTTGGATAGATTCAAGATCCTTGATGTCGCACAATCAAAGGCATGAGTTATGTTTCCAACATTTATACAGGCGCACATGGCGACGGATATGGTCTTGCAGCGTATTCAAAGTTCATAGTAGTTGGGAATCATTGTATCACCGTTGAGGATCTCGGAAGAAGAGGTTGTATTTGATGTAGCGGCTCATTCTTGTTTGAGGCAGACGGGCGCAATGGTGAGATGGGAAGGAAGTATGTGGATGGTAAATGGTCCCTGGAGAATATTTATATATATATGTATATGCTTGCGTTTAAGTGATTCATTTCATGATCAGAGGAAATCCTGCGAGGTGAAGATCATAATGTTGCGATTCTCATCCATCCTACTTGTAATCTTACATGAGGTTTATCGCATGTCATTTCAGTCAATCGGACACTAAGAAATGGCACTGCGGAACACACCGCCCGGCAGAATTACAATGGATCTTTCGAAAGTCCTCGACTGCCATCTCATTGTTCTGATCAATACTTAGATCAATACATGTGATTTTTATATCTTGAACTGTTACCTCATAAGAAAACTGATATTTCTTTGGAAGCTGTGGTCCGTCATTCATTAGGATTATACAGATGATATTCTGATTTGATTCTAAATACTTCATTGCTTCATCACCAACCCTGGTCTTGAATTCGAAATGTTGCCTGCTACTTACACCTGACATCAAATTTAATGCAGATCTATATCCGCCATTAAATCAAAAAGAAGAAAGGAAAACATAATGTCCGAGCCCATGGATATGGACTCAGGTGCCGAAACAACACGAGGTACAAAAAGAAAAGCCGAGAATGAACTCCCAGAAGTTACTGCCCCTAGACGTATCAAGGTGAGTTTAAGAAACTCACTAAACACCAATTTCTAAACTCTAAGTATTGTCTAGGCATTGGATCCCGATGTAGTCAATAAGATTGCCGCGGGCGAGATCATTGTAGCTCCAGTGCATGCTTTGAAGGAACTTATTGAAAATGCCGTTGATGCAGGCTCAACATCTCTGGAGGTGCTGGTCAAAGATGGTGGTTTGAAGTTATTGCAAATCACCGACAATGGACATGGAATCAATGTACGTATTAGTTCACGCTCAAAAGATTTCTTGTTATACAAGCTAAGGGTTGATAGAAAGAAGATATGGCGATTCTATGTGAACGTTTCACAACTTCCAAGCTCAAGCAATTTGAAGACTTGACATCTATTGGAACATATGGGTTTCGTGGAGAAGCTTTAGCTAGTATTAGTCACATTGCACATCTCACTGTCACGACAAGAACGAAGGATTCGAATTGTGCTTTTAGAGCACATTATGATAGTGGACGTTTGATACCTGCAAAACCTGGTCAAGGCTCTGATCCAAAACCCATCGCTGGTCGTCCTGGTACACAAATCACGGTGGAAGATCTTTTCTATAATGTACCTACACGTCGTCGTGCTTTCCGATCAGCATCAGAAGAGTATAACAAAATACTCGACGTCGTTGGTAAATATGCCATTCATTGCACGGGGGTAGCGTTCAGCTGTAAGAAACATGGAGAGGCTAGCACCACAATCTCAACACAGATGGCTTCTTCTACTGTAGATCGGATTCGACAAATTCATGGTAGCGGAGTAGCAAATGAGCTGATTGACTTTAAATCTGCTGATCCCCAATGGGGATTTACTGCTCAAGGATGGACGACTAATGCGAATTATCATGTCAAGAAAACAACCTTACTTTTGTTCATCAACCATCGATCAGTCGAGTCAACGGCAATCAAAAAAGCTATCGAGCAAACTTATTCCGCCTTCCTCCCCAAAGGTGGACATCCTTTCACATATCTCAACCTTGAGATCGAACCTCATCGGTTAGATGTCAATGTTCACCCCACGAAACGCGAAGTCAACTTCCTCAACGAAGAAGAGATCATTGAGAAAATATGCAACGATATTCGAATAAAACTTGCCGACGTAGACAAAAGTCGAAACTTTATGACCCAAACCCTCCTTCCCGGAGCTCAAGCGCCACTGGTAGCCGACATGCTGGATCCCGTCGCATTCGCCGCGGCGGATAAAGCCCGAACCACTAATAGGCCATATGAAAACAATCTTGTTCGCACCGATGCCAAACTCCGTAAAATCACCACTATGCTGCCACCCACTTCCAAACCTACAACAACCGCGAACAGAGAAGTCACCCCCAATCCTTCTGGGAGTACCATAGCCCCCAACTCTCAAGATATAGAATACACCCACTCTGACCGCGAACCAATCATATGTCGCCTCATGACCATCAAAGAGCTCCGCACCTCTGTCCGCGACTCTATGCACAATGAGTTGACCGAAATCTTCGCCAGCCACACCTTCGTTGGTATAGTCGATGAGCGTCGTCGTCTTGCTGCCATTCAGTCTGGTGTAAAGCTCTTCCTTGTCGACTACGCCGCTATATCGTCTTCCTTCTTCTATCAAGTCGGCCTTACTGACTTCGGCAACTTCGGGGAAATTCGTTTCAATCCCCCATTATCCCTCGCCTCCCTTTTGACTCTCGCAGCCACCCATGAAAAAGCCACTCAGCCCCCAAATACATCCCCAGAAGATGATTTCGAAGTCGAAGACCTGGTAGAGATTGTCTCTGAACAACTCATCTCCCGCCGCGAGATGTTGCAGGAGTATTTCTCGCTCTCCATTACCTCGGATGGCCTTCTCGAAGGAATTCCCCTTCTCCTCAAGAATTACACACCCGCTCTATCTAAACTTCCGCAATTTCTCCTCCGTCTAGGTCCACATGTAAATTGGAATGATGAGAAAGAATGTTTTTCCTCTTTCCTCCAAGAGTTAGCGAGATTCTATGTCCCAGAACAATTACCCCCATCGCCCGGTCCCGAACATCGAGAAGATGATCAACACAAAGATGGCAGCGAAACACAAAATCACACAACATCCATCTCTCCCGAACTCAAACAACGCAGAGATGCAGTGAGGAAAATGGTCGAAGATGTGCTGTTCCCAGCTTTCCGCTCTAGGCTACTCGCAACGAGAGAGTTGATGGGGGGCGCGGTTCTCGAGGTGGCGAATCTCAAGGGGCTATATCGCGTTTTTGAACGCTGCTGAGAGAGTGGTTTGTAATCTAATTTTGGGGAGATTGTAACTGTGAGAAATGGGTTTGAGAGGTGCATTTCTCTGTGTTGGGTTGTGTTATATCATGTATCTTGGGACGGGATGAGATAATAGAATAGGATGGAGGGGGTGTTATGTATCATTGCGGCATGGCATGGCATGGGATGTATTGCTTACTGGCTAGATTGAGAATATACTAGGTACTGTACTTATGGAATTATCAGCATATATATATACATACACAGCATAGCATAGCATAGCATATTAGAAAGAGACAACCAAGTCGAGATCCGCAATTGCTTTTGGGGGGTACGGAAGTTCACAGTGGCATATAATGCCTGAGATAGGTAGCATAATGCCACAAACACCCTTTTCTTTATATCTACTATACCTCGCACCTCAAATTCGCAATACCGCCGAGGAAGCGTTTTCTGTGCGAAGATGTTTGATGTGTTCTTATGCATATTTGAACTCTATCTCCTTCATCTGAGTATACCGAGGTGATATGCTATCCTTTGGATTCTGGTGGAAATATGGTGTCCTAGCTCTGATCTCTAGATACGATAGTGTTCGGTTATTCCGATAATTGTAAAGTGCTTATGGCAGATAGTGTAATACCTACCAGCCTCTATGTAGGAAAAAAAAGAGGCCGGTTTTGATCACTTTTTAATACCCTCAATAACCAAATTCTTCTTCTTAAATCTAAAATAAAATATAAACTTTGATAAGAATTAGTATAATTAAAAAATGAAAAGTAATTTGATATTTTCAGATTTATTTGTTTTATTTGTGGTTGATTTATAATCCAATTAATTCAGAGATTTCATTAAAGATTTTATATGGTCAAAATCGGCCTCTTTTTTCTCCTACGTAGAGCCAGCCTACCCCACGACCTACATTTACTCACATAGACTCACTGGAGATTGCATTATAACAACATCACATCAGATCACACCACATCACATCACATCACGATACCGAAAGCTCCAATTTCATCAACTTTAAAGCACTGCAAATCATCTATCATCTATCATTTTTCATTTTTTTCATTTTCATTGCGTAGTTGTCCCACATCTCCCCTTCATTCAAGGGAACATGATATGCGAGTCTACCTACTATAGCTCCTCCCCCCACCCTCCATTATAATACAATAGTTTAATATTCCTTTCCTTTGCCATCTCTCAACCCTCTAGCTTTTTCCATCTTCCCACTCTGGGTTCTGTTTCAAAATTAGCATTCATTCAACTTTATATATATGCAGAAATTTATATAGATGCGTAACATACCTTTCTCAAAATGACAAGACCCTCCAGATTACTGCTCAAACTAATATATTGTTCGTCTTCCAATTCCGCTCTCTCGCCATATGCTAAAAGTACGGGGGTACTCTGTGTTTGCCAACCAGTGATAGTCTTAGGACGACCGGCTTGTCCTACAACATCAACGGCTTGTCCAACTCGGACATTGACTGTCAATGGCTTAAGATCTTCGTCAAGAGTGACGAGGAATCTAGGGTGCATGGCTGTAACGAGGTAGTATAGGAGGTAATGTGATTTGGTTGTGACGAATTGCTTGGCATCGATCATAGCAATCAAGACGGAGAGAAGACCACCAGCTGCGACTCTAGAGAGTACTTGGCGATCGGTGTGGAATGGGTTGATGGAGAGTGTTCCCTTACCCATGTGAAGCAGACCCTGGGCGATTCTGACCATGAACAGAGCGTCAGGATCACGGTGGTAGTAGCTAGCCAATTGGCGAAGTAATTGAGCCAATCTAGCATTGTTGGTTCCAGCACCCAAGAGACCCATTGCAAAGATAGCATTAATCGCAACATCATTGTCATTGTCGTGACTGTAACGAGATAATGTATCATAAACCTTCATCTGTGGGTTACTAGGACTTAGCAGACCCATGGCGAGAGGAACTGCTTTTCGGATATTGGCTTCACCGTAGTGCATCAAATGAGCAAATTGACGCAAGACCATCTCTTGACCAACATCTTCTCCCATAGCGACCAAACCAAGACCGAGAACAGCATAGGCTTGAAGTAATTCGTCGCCTTTCTTGTCATCACTTTCTTCGATATGATCGTTACAGATATGGAGAAGTTCTTGGAGCTTCAAAACTGTTCCTGTTCCAGCCCAGGCACAAATTTCTGCCAAAACAGCTGTTGGTTTAGACATAGGATGATCAACAGCCTTCAAAGTCTCGAGGATAACATCCACGTTCTCTTGTTGGCCAAAGAACAACAGACCCAAACCGAGAGCCATAAATCGAGTCCACTTGTCCTTGAGCTGAGATTTGCGATCATCGTCAAGGAAAGTTTGGAAGATGGCTTCAGTGATGTCACTGTTACCAGATCCAACGAAAATCATACCCAAAGATAAAGCTGCCATGGCGGAAATTTGCATTTCCACGGAAGTATCGGTAACAATAGGTAAGAGAAGCTCCAAAAGTTGCTCCCTGTTTGATCCAGCATAGGCAAGACCAAGACCCATAATAGCACCAACTCTAACAAGAGGATTCTTGTGGTTAAGCTTATCCTCTTCACCGAGAAGGGCGAGAGCAGGCTCAGAATCGATTCGTACTCCAGAGTTCATTATACCGATAGCCAATAGAGTACCAGCTTGAATTTGAGTTTCGGGGGCGTATGTGTATTTATCAATCTTGTCCAAACCGGTCTCAACGTCCCAGAGAAGTAATGTACCCATCGACGCAACTGTGGACATCATTCCCTCTTCCTTAGTTTTCCACACCCAGCTTGCTTTCTCATCTTCAACCATCATCATCTTATCATTGCCGAATCCAGCGTTTACGAAAGCATTGACAAAACCTGCTGCCAAGTTGTGCCCAGCAGAGTCAAGGTTTGTTAATCCCGCGACCCTATTACTCTCCAAATGACTCTTGTAAATATCTTCGGTCGTCTTTGGATCCAAAATATTCAATTCCTTGGCTAAGGCCTTGAAATGTTCCGGCATCTTAGTGTTATACATACACTCCATGATCTCCTGGTCCTCGCTAGTTTCGGATGGTAGGTCGTCAAGAACTATTCTTTGGCGAGCAATGAGGAAAGCCATTTGTTTCTTCAATGCCGGGTCTGTCGTAGAATCGAAATCGGATCTGACGAGCTCGAGATCGTTTAATCTAATGGCAAGGACAATCGCTTGGGTAAGTTGGTTGTATTTCTTGTAAATATCGTGTGCGGTTCTGAGGAATGTCTGGTCCTCTGGATAAGTCAAGAGGTTGACCATGCTGACCATGTAAAGGCATGCTCGTGTGTAGGTATCCTTATCCAGGTAATTTGGAATTTTGTCGATAATTTCAAGCTCACTCATCAGATCGACAGCGTCAGCCTCAGCGTTACTCTTCAAGAATAATGGCACAAGGATCAAGGCTAGATCAATAAGATCTTGAGTTGGTTGATCTTCCGCTAATCTCTTGCTGTACATCTCTCCCAATTCCAAAGCAAGATGACGTGTATATTCGTGACCCCATGAGGCAATATCTGATGTAGGTGCAAGCAATCGGAATTTGAGAGTGTCTTGTCTTTCTTCATCTGAAAATGTCATGCCAATAACTGAAAGAACATCTGCGAGAGATGTTTTGTCGTCCCCTTCCGGCCATTGTTCGTACAACTTAATCATAGGCTCGTAATGCGGTCTAAGGAACTTGAGAGGTTTGGGTACAGCGGTCATAGATGAAGTGGAGGTTTTGATCGAATCTTTGATGGCTTCGAGGGCACTTTTGTAAAGACTTGTGTTGGATTCCTATATCAAAATTGTTAGATTTGCTTGCAAAATCCAGTTATGAACGTTTTCATACTGTTAATCGCTCCACCAGCATATCAAGCTCACTCTTCAGTTGTTGATCTTCCTCGCTGAGCTCCTCCGCTGTTGCAATAGACATGTTAGTAATTGCCCATCTGTTCCATTACCAACAACATACCTCCAACGACCGGCTCTTCTTTCGCCCCATTAGCTATGGGCTTTCCATCTTTATCCTTCTCTACCTCCTCTGGCTTCTTGGGATCTGAGACCGCCTTGCCTTTGCCCTTGTCAACAGACTTTGGTGGTTCGCCATCTTGCGCCATGTTGTTTCTAATGGTTGATGTGGAAGCGGCGTTTCTGAAATTGTTGGGAATATGAAAAGAAAGGCTAAAGACAATGCGCAGGAAGGGTATAAATCACTACAAGTCAAGTAGTAGTGAAAGTGAGTAGTATGTCGTGGAATTCGTGATAAACTTTTGATTCTTAATAAGGTCCTCCAGGCAGGTCTGCTTTCGCGTCTAAGCAGCTTCACCAGATCATAGCTCAAGTGGTGTCACTAGCAGCCGAACAGTACCAACTTTAATTGCACACCCGAAGAAGCTACGTCAAACGAGAGTGAATTTAACCGCACTTTACTAGAACCACACTCGCATTCATTCACAGCCCAACGGCAGAAAAATCCCAAAAATTAATTTCTAGAGACCGTCAAATTACAACAATATCGCATAACAATTTTCAAGATGAAGTTGGATACTAAGGCTATGCGGTATTTGACCGCTGAAGACTGGCGCACACTTACAGCAGTCGAACAGGGTTCCAAAAACCATGAGGTTGTCCCTACAAGACTCATCGAACAATTATCAGGTCTTCGAGGCGGGGTTCATAGATGCATATCCGCACTCGCAAAAGTCAATTTAATCGCACGCCTCAAGAACGCAAAATACGATGGCTATCGTCTCACATATGGAGGACTCGATTATCTTGCGTTAAATACGTATCGCAAACGCAAGGACGTTTACAGCGTCGGAAACCAAATCGGTGTCGGAAAAGAGAGTGATATTTTTGTGGTGGCAGATGAGAAGGGAGTGCAGAGGGTACTGAAGATTCATCGATTGGGACGAATATCATTTAGAACGGTCAAGGCGAATCGAGACTATTTACGACATCGATCCTCGGCATCATGGATGCATATGTCGCGATTGGCAGCGCTGAAGGAATTCACATTTATGACGGCTCTACGAGACAATGGATTTCCAGTCCCCGAACCACTCGCACAATCTAGACATACTATAGTTATGTCTTTGATCGATGCATTTCCTATGCGTCAAATATCTTCCGTTCCAGATCCAGCATCCCTATACGCCGAACTTATCTCCATGATCCTACGCTTAGCTCAATACGGCCTCATTCACGGTGATTTCAACGAATTCAACATTTTAATCAAGGAAGAGACAAACCCAGAAAATCCTGAAGAGATACTCAGCTTGACTCCTATCCTTATTGATTTTCCACAGATGGTTTCTGTCGACCATGTAAATGCAGAATACTACTTTGATCGAGACGTCAATTGCATTAAGCGATTTTTTGACCGACGATTCCATTTCACCAGCGATGAGAAGGGTCCTCATTTCAAGGATGCTCGCAAACTTATCGGCAAAGATGGTGTGAAGCGACTGGATGTTTCTGTTGAGGCATCGGGATTCTCAAAGAAGATGGCGAAAGAGCTCGAGGCATACATGAAAGCGGTAGGCGTTGATGGTGATGGCGAACCTGGGGCGGAAAGAAGTGATGATGACTTTGACGATGACGAAGAAGACGAGGAGGAGGAGGACGAAGAAGAGGACGAAGAAGAAAAGGAGGCTGCAGATGACCATGAAGCGGATAATCTTGCAGATCCTGCCAACGTAAAACAGCAGAATGAAGAGACTGCAGAGATAAAGCCGAAGGGGGGTGCTGAACTGTCGAATGATGGCAAAGAAGAGCTGTCGTTGTCCAATCTCAAGATTGAAGAGAAGACTTGAATCTATTTCGCAGCCAAAACAAAAATAACAATTGATAATAAATGTGCGGCCTATCACTTACCTTGAGAAGTTGCTTCTTACTTTGTGGTGACTCATGCTATCAACATTCGATACAAAAAGGCAGAGAGCACTTGAAAGGACTGCTGAAGTAATATTACCCAGGTGGATCACGACAACTGTAGTATGATCACATCACGATTCCCTCGAGAGTGTTCGATCGGAGCCTTCAATGTGAGTATTAGCCACTCCAAAATGAAGAAAAGCACCCAAGTCCTAACTTGTCAAATTTGCAGTGTGTATCTTCCTCCATCATGTGGCTAGTCTCAAAATACAATTCGAGATATACACTTTTGATCACAAATTTAATGTGAAATTAATGCAAATTTAGCTTTATTATGCTACAGAAAAGTCTTATCTACCTAGTACTGTTGCAACAAGAGCAATGAAAACGAAAGAAATTACAAAGAAAGAGTAATCTGCCTGATATCCTCACACGCTGACATGAAAAGTAATGTTTCGCACCACTATCGTCAATATGTCACACCCTCGTGGATGTACAGATCGCCAGCCTCGAAAAATATTGAACTAGAAGCGAGAATGTAATGTAACATAGATAATACTTCGACCAGGATTATGTATGTATGCTTGGTGAATAAGCATGTATGCTGGAAGGTATGGATTTATCATAATAGGTATCGTTAAAAGTGGGGGTGTGCCTCGTTGCGAGGTATGTATTCGTGCAATAATGAAATTTGGACCACAAAATTGAGTAAATGTTGACATGAAGGTATGATGATACAGAACCATGTTGATCTCTCTACTTGCGAGTAGATGGAGAGGTGATGGAAGCACTATGTGCAATGGATGAGCTGTGGACGACAACTGGGGAATCGTGAATTGTGACTCCCTCGTCAGCGGAGCCATTCTCGGAAACGGTTGGAGTGACGCTTGAGACAACGCTACTGATGACAAGTTAGTATTCAAGTGCCCCATAGACTGCCCGTGGAATAAGCTCACTGGGTCAAAGGCTTCTTGGGAGAGGCTTCAGTCAAGGAAACTTTGACAACCGATCGGTCCAAGTCCTTGAAACCTGAGACACGTCCAACAGGGCTACAATCACATTAGCACCGCCAGTGTAAAAGAAAAAGGGAATACCATACCTTGGAACACCATCTCTCTTCCAAGATCCGCTGGATCTGGAGCCAGGAAGATGACGAGCAATCTGAGAAGCCCGGGGAAGAATTGGAGATGGCATTGGGGGAGAAGCCAATGCAATCATGTCGGCAGCTGGGGCGCCATAAGCTCCAACGTTGTACTCATTGGTGCGGAATTGACGACGCTCAGTGGTGATTCGCTTTAAATCCTTTTGTGCAGGAGTGTCGGCATAACGAACTTGAAGTAAGAGACCTTCTTCACCGATGGGCTGACCGTGGAACTTTCTGATGATCTCCTCGCAGACATCACGGTTCTCGAAACTGCAGTACGAAAGTAAGCTTATGGCAGTGGCACGGTGGAAAGCTGTCAACTTACCGAGCGAATCCAACGCCTCGGCTGTGGTTTTGAGAATCACGAAGGATGCGGCTACTGCTGACCTTGTAGTCCATGAAGATAGCACCAAGTTCCTAAAACAACGTTAACTGAAGCAAGAGCAACTAGTTACGAGAAGAGCCTTACAGATTCGGTCATGGTCTTTGGCAAATTGGAAACATAAAGATTGGTGGATGCCTCATCACCCTCTGCCTTAAGACGAGCATTGAAAGATTCCTGTGAAAAATTAGCTACTATCAAGGAATGATATGGTTGAAGACATACTCTAGCAAAACCGACTTCATAACCAAGTTCCCAGAAACCACGAATGCACATCTCCGAATCGCGGACATCGAAATACTTAGCGAAACCAAATCTACAAAGCTGTTAGCGGCAGTAGGAAACTTCCTTGCAAAGAAATGACATACCCCTTGCAAGCACCAGTGGCTGTGTCAATGATTGCCTTAGAGGTCTCGACTTTACCGAAGCGGGCAGCATATTGTGCGAGTGTCTCGTCATCAGTGTTTGGGTGAAGTCCGCGAATGTAGACATTGCGGTTGTTCTTAATAGGATTGTGCAAACTCTGATCCAAAGTTCTCATATTCTCGGTTGGAGTAAAAACTGCTGGGACAGCCTTTGGAATTGGTGGAAACTGCTTCAAAAGAGCTTGGATATCAACACCGATTGGAAGTGTTGGATAAGGAAGTGCCTTGACGAGCGATTGAGCATGAGGAACTGGAAGCTGCTGAGGAGATGGGGTAGAGCCGAATGGAGATCGGTCAATCGCAGCAATGTGAGCACCAGATTCACGATTGGCGAATGAGGTATAGTACGGTGTTCCAGGAAGAGACTCGGTGGTGGAGTAAGAGCCGCGGCGATTCTCAAGGCCAGGAACATCCTTGGTAGAGTGAGAATGGTCGGATCTGTCAGCATAGTAGGCAGATCGGGCGTTTGGTGTGTACGGAATATTTTGTTGGTATCCTGGAACATAGCCAGGGTAGACCGAAGATGCCTGTGCAAGATAGGGTAATGCTCCAGGGAAGGAGTTCATGTTGTATGCATTCTCAGATAGCTGCTGAGGGGCTAACGATTGTGGCTGGAACATGCTTGGTGCATACACAAGGCCATCAGGGGTAACTTGAAAGTAGACTTGGCCTGTTCCCAAATGATGTTGGTTAGTAGCCATTGGACCTGTAGAGTTAGGCATGCTGCCAGGAATAGCTAAACCAGCAAACTGATTCATCATTGCGTTCATGGCACCGTCTCCAGCTTGGGTGATGCCACTGCTGGCCTGAGCAAATGTAGCTTGCTGACCTTGAGAATCTCGAGTTGTGCGAGCTTGTTGCTGAGTGTACATAGTTGTTGTGGTGCGGTTTGGGAACGTATTTGCTGCTTCAGCATGTGTAGCAGTTTGAGGGTAAGACATGGTATCCTGCATGTAAGATATTTGTTAGTACCAAATATGAGTTGACGATTGATGGAGGATGTAGTTAATGGGAGATGAAATGTATTGAAGAAACAAATAAAGATGGGAAGATCAGAAGTGGGGAAGATCGAAGAGATGATTTTCTTGTGAATGATAAGAGGTAGTGAATAAGGACAGTGAAGGTGAATTGTTAGAAATGATGTTTGTGACCCAGCGAACAAAGCAGATGGCCAAAAACCATCGATCGGGAATCTGTAATGCAGAAACAGATTCGCTGGATCCAATTGAGAGAAACGAGAAAATAGAGACATTGCTTGACTTACTTTACAGTTCTTGACAAGAACAACGCTTTTTACTCAAATAATGGTATTCTCAAGCAATCCAACTGTAGGGTTTCGGAGTCAGCAACCACCAATTGAGGATGAAAGAAGAAGAGTGCAGGAGTGAGTGAATGGGTTCAATTCCAAGTACCTTTTTGAAAAGACGATTGGATGGAGACTGT